GCAGAAGTTGCGCGGTATCCTAGCAACGCTTTAACCTTACGAAAACGCCGTATAACAGCGACTTTAGCTACTTTACCTCATATTTTTACCTTTAACAAGAAAACAAAGAGTGAAAAAACGAATATACGTCTTTTTATCAGTCTTATCTTCGCGTCTACGTTACTTTTGATTCCGTGAGCTGCCGAAAAGGAAGAAACTGGGAGAAAAACGCTTCAAAAACAGCTGAATACGCAGACGTTAGAAGCTAAAGGCTGACTTTAACGGTTACTCACATTGGTCATGTTCTAGCTCTCAGCTGGGTTCTGTAGGAAGACATTTGCCGCCCTTCACACTACAGTCCTCAGCTCGAACAGGTCCCAGCTGTCCATAGTGTCGGCTAAGTTAACTTCGAGACTAAAAACTACGGAAAAGGCAGCAGCTGTGCTTCAGTTCTCCTCATTACAGTGACCGCAGGGCGTCGTTAGGAATCGTCCCTCAGCAGAAGCGGCGCTCAGAGCTGTCCGAGCCGAAGGAGCTGCAGCTGAAGCTCTGAGCTGTGAGATGTTCCTCTGCTTTACTCTCGACTGAAGAGCCTCTGCTGGGTCCTAAAGAGCTCCACAGCTCTCAGCACAACTCCCAGAGACAAAACACTCACTTTTCTTTACACCATTAGACGAGAAAAAGTTTTTTTTTCAGAAATATCTTGTCTTTATAGAGTGTCAGAAAGATTTAATGATACATTCCTGATTAATAATCAATAAACTGAAATATTAGCTAACTTGAGTGTTTGGAGATCTACAAAGGGTCACATTGGGGAGCAGGCTATAGACTGCATGCATTTGGGATACCACCTCTAAAGGGGATGAACTCAATGAACTACAAACTGTAGCTGCACGCTATGGTTGAAAGGAGGGGGATTGCGGGATGACAGTATAAACTATAGCCCAGGTAAACACTAATTAAGGGGGAATTCTGCCAGATGACAGTACAAATCGTAGCTGAAGTGAGCTCACGCCCTTTGGGTGAAGAAGCTGTGTAAGATGGCCTTGAGAGGATGGAAAGGCCAGGTACAACCAGGTCAGAATGTTTTTCTTTTTTTTTTTGGACCGTTCTGTTCATTGAGTATGAAAGAAGGAAAGGCTTACAAAGCTGAGACAAGATACATGCACAGATTCTGTTGGTTATTCCTGAGAATTAACCGAATAAGCCATCCCAAATCCCCCAAACCAACTAAACCCAACTAAAGAGACAGAGCAGACGAGCAGAAAGATGATAAGCTCATTCTAACTGTATGTACATTAGACCAGGGCTCTCCGAACTTTTTTCAAAGGAGGCCAGATCGTACTGTGTCAAAATACCTGAACTATTGTTCAGAAATGATTCAAAGTATTAAGTTTTCAAAATATCTGCGCATAGAAACTGAGCTTTCTGTGAGCTACCGTGTTTCCTATCACTGCATAAAAGATGCACGAGGCCTCTTATAATCAATAATTAAACTGTTTAAGAGTAACAATACAACGTCTGATGTATTAATCATATTCCTGTTCATGAGTTTACTTGTTGAAAAATATACTAAGTGAGACAAACTCAACAAAATTCTACATATTTTTGGTTTTGTTAAATGATGTTCTTTACATATCAGGTAAACGCAGTGTAGCCACATTGTTGTTCGACCTTAAAGGGTTAATATTTACTGAACGGCTGAATTTGCTCTGATAAGAAGTTTTCCATCTCAGTTCTCAGTGTTTAGTCTGAGCTTCATGTCTGAAGTCTTGACTAAAGCTACGTTCACATTACGAGCCTCGTTGCTCAAATCCGATTTTTTGTTCAAATCCAATCTCTCTGACACGATGGTTCACACTCGTTTAGGTAAGTGACTCAAATCTGTCATTAATGTGACGAACTGGTGTCCTGAAATGACCCTCATGAGCTCATCCTACTCAGTAACGTCACGTGAATGAATCACGTTCATCATCAGCACAAACTAACGAGCAGAACGAGCTTCGCTGAGAAGATCATTAACTCTGATCAGCTCTCAGCTTCATTATTAGAGCGAGACGAAGGAGAAAAAGGTGAGATGAGCTGCTTTTCCACCGTTTACAGGCTTTAACTTCTGTTCGGCGCTGCTGCCATGGTAACGCCGAATGATGGCGCAGCGCAGTGGAGAAAAAGCACATGAATTCTGATCTGAGCGTCACATTAAGGTTGCATGGCTGCGAATCAGATACGGATCCGATCTAGGACCACATATGAAAGTGGCTCAGGTTGGATTTGAAAAGATCAGATTTGCGTCCACACAGCTCTGAAAACATCAGATCTGAGTCAAAATTAGGGCAAAAAATCAGATTTGTGTCACTTCAGTCTGGTAATGTGATGGTAATGTGTAGCCTAAATGTAGTTCAGTAAATGAAGCTGCAGGTCAGGTCAGCTGCCACCTTAAGGTGAAAGGAAGAACTGCAACGTACTGGCTGGCGGGCCGCTTAAAATACACTGTAAAACAGAAGCTGGGGGCCAATTAAAATCTGTCTGTGGGCTGCATTTGGCCCTGGGGCTGGACTTTGGACACCCCTGTCCTCAGTCCTACATCAGTCCTACTACAGATATGAGGGGGTCCGGCCTTCTAGCTACAGGCAGAAGCTGCCCAGAACTCCAGCCCAAGTTCTCAGAGTTCTCCCCCCTCTCTCAGTCTTCCCTCATACTACCACCACCATGTTGAAGGCATGGTCTGAACTCACAAACAGTATTTCTGTGGATTTTTAGATTCAGTTTAGTTGGGAATATATTTCAATTTGTACAAACTTAAAAAAGATGGTTCTTCAAGGTTTCTTTGGTAAAGAAAATGGTTATACATAGAACCCTGGACACTCATGAAAGGGTTCTTCAGATTGATGGAGAATGTGCTGTAGATGGCTCTATATAGAACCTTTTTGAAAATGGTTCTGTATAGCACCAAAAGAGTTCTGGTGGTGTTACGATGTCAAGCTTTTAACAATAAATAAAAAAAACACTTTTTGGTGCTATACGGAACCCTTTTCAAAAAGGATAGAACCATATACAACACATTCTTTATCAATCCAAAGAATGTTTTCACCATGCATAGAAGCATTTAAGCATGCATTTGATCTATAAAGAACTCTAAATAGAATGACTTTGATGCTTATTTGTTACTAAAACTCTCCAAAATATAAAATATTTCTTTATTTTAGACTATAAGAATGACTCGCAGTGACTGGTCTTACTTTTGTTCTCATTTATTATTGTCCTTTTTATGCATATATATATATATATATATATATAGTTCTTTTTGTAATTTTGTAATACGCATCTGAAAAACATCCTTTAAAGAGCCCATATTCATATTTTTCTTGTATTTTATTTTCCTCCCCAACTTTAAAAGTTTTTTATATATTTTTACATGACCATGTTCCAACCAGTCTATCGAACAAGCTGGTTCTGTTACTCTGCCTTTAAGACTGGTATATGCAAATGAGCTCTGTTCTGATTGGCTGACCTGTGTTGTCCAGACTGCAAACACTCCTTATAACAGCGAATACAAAACTGTCTGTTTTGCAGTGTAGTTTTCAAACGTGGACTTGATAGAACTGTTTTGAAACTTTAACCATGTTTACATACCACGTCAAACTCCTTTATATCAAAAAATAGAGGAAAATTTGGTTTTCTGTGATAAAAGTCCTTTAAGAATTTACATATATTTTGAAACGAGGTGTATTTTAGAAATGAGGCTTATCTTAACGAAGCACATGATCACTGTGGCCAACTGAGAGATGCTGCTTTGTGAAATATTTTTAGATGTAGATGTTCCATTACGGATGGTTTGCACTGGAATAGTGGACTTGTTATTCATAGTGTTCTCCACCCGAATTTAGCCTAGATTTTAATCAGAATGCAAAACGGCTTGGTAGGCCTCATCTCAGTCCCACTCATGTAAGATGATATTCTCAGTTTTTGCCTACTTATCAGCAGGACTAGAAAAACACATGCAAATACATGTGTTGTAAACGAGTGACTGGGGGAGTGTTCAGTTGTATGTTATCCCAAAATCATATAAAAACATCCACAGTTCATCTTACAACCTGAAATCTGATCTTTTTAACCTTCGTATGTGTGTCTGTTCATATTAAGCATCAGATCATGTAAAATTCTTGTTGTCCTGTTTTCTTCCATCACAATGTAATGACTTTAGCTCCGCCTCTGAAATGTCTTCTGATGTTTGATGATGTCACCAGTAGATGAGAAAGATAAACTAGTCTCCCTTCTCACGTTTTACTCACTGATACAACACAGCATGAGAGGAAAACGTGTTATTGTTTCCTGACTTAAGTAACTGTTTAATACCAAAGGGGAAGTCCACCAATTTTTCTAAATTTCTTCATAATTCAGTGTTTGAGATGTAAACAGAGTGATTCAGAGTGGTTCGGTGTAAAATGGTTCAGATGGCTTTACAGTGGTGGTGATAGGAACCAGGGGTCGCCATGACTACAACACAAATATAGACATTTTATTTACTATCCAAAACCACCAGTGAACCCACACGAGTCTTCTGAGTTTATATGGAATGTTGATGATGGAAAATAGAGATAAATATGAAATAATAATTTTTCCTTGGGGACTATTTTGCCTCAGAACGCCCTGCGTGTATCCCTCCACCATGAATGGAGTTTAAATAATACATTTTAGGACCAAAAGCTTCTCAAAACTATCATAAACAGTGTCTCAGACATCAGGCAGTGAATTCACAACCATTTCATGTAGTAACTTTCTGTGAGGGAGCTTTTAGAGGTGGACGTCTGGTTCCTATCACCACCACTGTGAACAATTCTGACTCTACAAGTTTCTCTATAATGGAGCGTTTCATCAATGAAATGGACACAGTACTGTGGTAGATCTAAAGGCAGGAGATGAGTGTGAACAGTGTAAGTTCCTAAGACCAAAGCATTTACAAAGTCTTGTAGACTCGTCATCAAATATAAACCGTTACACTTAAAGGAAGATGCAGACGTCCATGTTTACAAAAACACAATCTTGAGAGCGTTTATTGTACAAAATGATACCCAATGCAGCTAATCTGTACAAGCTCACAGTCACAAGCGTATAAATCATACAGCAGTCCATTTACAGCAGGCCGTGAGGGCCAGCGGGCGTGGAAACGGCACACGTCAATCAGCTGTTGGCCGTGGAGCCAGACTCTGGAGACTGAAGGAACTCGTAGGGGTCGTGAACCATCTCTGATTGGTCTCCTACACCCAGGTGGGACGGGCTCCCTGAGCACACAGAGAGGGATGGAGAGGAAAACGTGACTCGGTCATAAATAAAAGTCAATATAATCTTCTAAAAGAAAATGTGTGGTTTTGTGCCTTGAATTTCAGACTCATGTGAAATAGCACCGTTTCTGTGTAACTGTCAGACCAATTCCTCAGCCTCCTGAGATGGATGCTAAATGATGCATCAAGAGTGGGCAGAATGGCAAAAGATTATGTTTAATTGAATCATAATTTCAATTTTAATTGTAAAGATATTTTTACGATATTCCCACGTCATTTTTAGGTGTGTTCAGTGTTTAAGCTTGTCGAACAAGTTGTAACTGACAAAATGCTCTAACAAAAAAGTAGAGCCACGTAAAAAGCCATTTTAAAAAATGCATCTGCAAAATAATCTATTTAAAAAGCAGGAAGAAAATACAAATTGGTAAAATGAATTAATTGACCATTTTCACACTTCTGTGTTTGTTCATGCGGAAGAGTAAATAATAGCGTTAAACAGTTGGTCGCGCTGTAAATAATGGCTGACACTGCTGGGATGGGAATCATTGCTGCGTTCCTAAATGCACCAATAATTCAACCCAACAGCCTCACCTGAGTTTCCACTTAGTCAAGTTTAAAAATGTTCAACTCCGGCTGAAAAGCTCCGTTCGCCATGTGTCGCTTCTAACGAGGAAACCAAAAAAATGCTCAGCTCCTACACAAATATGTATTCACTGCTGTATTTATAGTCCTGGAGACGGTCATCACAGAGGTTTGCGTAAAAACCTTGAGAAACTGACTCCCCTCCACTGTAGCTCGGTCAGCTCCATCAGTAACTGTAAAGTAGAAATACGATGCTGTGTCTCTGTGCTAGTTGTGTTCAGGGCACTTACTGAAGACGCTAATGTTTATATGGGCTGAGTAGGACGAATTAAGCCTGGTGGACTTTTGCGATAACACACAACCTCGAGTGTTCTATGCTTAATTGAACATCCGCTCCGCTCCTCCTCTTCTTTGCAAGATCTGTCTCGGGCAAATTCCTCACAGTTCAGACGTTGATTTTTTGCGCAATACGTTCCGCTTTTGAACAGCTTCTTTAGACACGGAAATGCGCCTTCAAATGTGGGATGCGCAACACAGACGTCTGCAGAAGCGCACTCGATTTACTGAGCTCCACACAGCGGCAGATGCTTCAGCCACGTCAAACTAGCCTTTTCACCCATGTTGGAGGAACTACCAGACATGCCAACTGCCCTACTAGTAACCGCGCTGAGGCTGAAGGAAGATTTTTGAGGCAGGCTGAAAACTGGCGACTCTCCATTGCCACTCTGTGAGACGGTATCGCTACTATTTACAGCCAACTGTGACGACGCAGTCTATAAAATAAGTGGGCTGCCATCCAATCAGCTACTTGTTACACACTTTATTCAGTTTCTTTATGCTGGTTGGTGTTTTTATAGCCTATATACTCAGTAAAATTATAATTGCTCTAAATGTGTCTTTATTTATGAACCATGCAGTTGGGTGTCCTAGAAGTACTGACCACATCATACACTCAGGAAAGTGTGCTGTAACACCGTTGATCATGATAATTAATAATAACGTGTTTTTAAACTTCTTGTTCTAAACTACAATGTTCTCTTGAAGCTGGAAGGTTTTCTTGCAGTTTCAGAATGTTGTGTATTTTACCTAAATGGTGCTGGTCTCTCTCGGAGGCGTTAGAGAGAGAAGAGAGGTTGGAGGAGGGTCTGGAGCCCACCCTGTCCACTGCCGCATCCTGGAACTCCTGCAGCAGTTTGGCCGTGTCGTCATAGTGCTGATGACCCTCCTCGTGTTCCGGCTCCTTCTTCACCGGCTTACCTGCTACAGAAAAGACAAAGGTTCATCAGTGGGACACGATCAGGGCCGAATGCAATCCTGAATGTCAGAACATGTTGAATACTGACATAATTAGGGATTTTAAAGGGGAACTCCACCGATTTTTCAAAAATTCTACATACTTAAATGGTTAAAATGTAAATAAAGTCATTCGGAGTGGTTTGGTGTGAAATTCTCCGTTCTAGAGAAACTTATCGAGTCACAATTGTTCACAGTGGTGGTGATAGGAACCAGACGTCCACCTCTAAAAGCTCCCTCACAGAAAGGTATTACATGAAATGGTTAGTTGGAATGGAGAATGGATAGTTCTATGATAAAGTTTTGGCTTAAAATGTATTTTAATCCATTTATTTCAATCCACTCATGGTGGAGGGACACATGCAGGGTGCTGTGAGGCAAAATAGCCCCCAAAGAAAACTTATTATTTCAGATTTATCACTATTTTACCATCATCAACCATATAAACTCAGAAGACTCGTGTAGGTTCACTGGTGGTTTGGATAGTAAATAAAATGTCTATATTTGTGTTGTAGTCATGGCGACCCCTGGTTCCTATCACCACCACTGTAAAGACATCTGAGTCTACAGGGTTTTCTACAATGAACCATTTCAGGTCAAACCACTCTGAACGATCTCAAGGACTGAAATTTTGAAAAATTGGTGGAATTCTCCTTTAAGCTATATCTGCTGTACAGTCACTATACAACATCTCTACCACTGCAGGGGAGCGGAATGATTCACTGTCTTTGCTCACCTGATGACATATCTTCAGCAATATAAAATCTCCTAGATTAAGCAGAGTCTGTGAAAAAATATGCGATGCAGTCGGCTAAATGGGCGGGGCTAAGCTGCAGTAGGCTGAATGGGCGGTCATATGTAAATGCGTTCATGGTTATGACATCAAAACCATACTGAATTTCTAAAGGGCTGTTTTTACAGCCTGGTTTATGTCCGGACTGTGCGGACCGGGAAGTGAAGGATTTTAAGTCGGATCCGGCGCTGGACTGAAAGATGAAGTGAATTCTTACCCAGAGGGTTGAGCATGTCCAGAGACATGTCTGGATAGCTCTTCAGGGACATGAAGTCCAGCACTGAGCTGCTTTCCATCACACCTTCATCTGCACCCTGAAATCAAGCAGAAAGTTCAGAGCAGTTAGTTTCAGTCAGCAACAAACGGACAGCACATCGGTTCTAGATGAACACTTCACAGGTGTGTCTCCATCACAGTCTCTTTCACATGAGTTCATCACACAAAAATCCAAACAGATCACGTCTTGTTAAATAAGGACTAACAGCATTACCTGCATATCACACAAGCTGGACTTTGCTTCGTCCAAAGGCATGTTCCGCTTCTGAAAAGGCAAAGCAAAGTGTTCCACTAAAGCACTGAGGCCTCCCTGATGTTAAGAAACATCCTGCAGAGAGTCGGAGTGTAAATCTTTGACCTCACAAAACTAGGAAACGATTCAGTGCGTCAAGAAATATTAGTCCTATTTGAAGCAGTTATTTAGGTGTGAAAACCATCTGATCTCTCATAACAGTTCAAGCTTTTTACATTTAAAAATAATAACACGTTCTAAAATATTTAGACCAAAACTGAGTTGTTGTTCAAATCTGAATGCATTATTATTTTATTTTCTGTCTTTGCACCCACTATGACATTTTTTGTGAAGATAAATGTGCCTGTAGAAACTATTTACACAGCAGCAGCCACGTTTACATGCAGCCTAATAATCCGTTAATAATCCGACTAATAGCTCAATCTGAATAGAATACGTCCATATAAACACGTCAATCAGAATAGCCTAGTCTGATTGAGGCCATTCAGAATACAGTTTCTATCTGATTGATCGAGGTGGGTAATCCTGTAAATAATCAGTTAAATAGAAGAATAATATCCGTGTAAACGCCTGTATCTGATTACATTCCCAATCGGAAAGTTTAAGCCCGTTCTGATCATGTTCGTCGTGTCATAGTGAAAGTTTATACCGTTCAACATGGCGGAGCAGAAACTGGTCTGCAGAGGAGACGAAGTTTATGCTCTGATCTTTAAAAGATGGCGGTGGGACGGACGTCCAGCTTATGTGTCTCAGAACACGACGCCTTCCTCTTGGCCTTCTTTAATAAGGACATGTGAAGGACGTTTTCCTGAGTCTGACATCATTTTAAAGCAGTTAAAAACACAAGCACTGCTCACTGCTGCTCATCTCACTCTGACTGGACTCACGTGATGCTGGTTGTCACGGTAACGTCTACACTAAGTGGTTCTCTACGCATGCATGTAATTTTAGATTGGATCACTTGTAGTGCGCACGTCAGCAGAGGTCTTCTATGACGTTGTTGAGTAGAGTGAGAATAAACACCTCAGTCTTAATCTATAATAGGAATGTATTCAATCAGATTGGAGAACATCTTTGCATGTAAACACAGACAGTGGAATACAGACATCAAGATTTATGAAACTTATTATAGCTGATTCTAACAGCTGAGTCATGTTTGTTTACATCCCTTGTACTGAGGTGAGGTACCTGTCGGATTTGGAAGACGGCCTTGGAGTGATCTCCACCCGTCATTTTATCCAACAGATCGTCCACCAGCCTTTTGGTAAAACTGCCACAGTCCTTCACAAACTCCTGGAGACTGAAACACACAAACACACACACACACACACACACACACACACACACACACACACACACACACACACGTTAGAGTCATGAGAAATCCTACCACTTATGCAGTTTTTCCTTAACAGCACCCAAACACTGGGACACTCACAGGGCTTGTTAATGAACCATCAGGTGTATTTAAATTAATATATGTTTATTTATGAAGTTATAATGTATTAACCAACAACATTATCACATACAAAGACTCACACAAAGACAGGACCTATAATAAAAATGCACTGAAAGTTGGTTTTAGAGTGTATCGTCACGTCCTGTGTCTGGTTGTCTCTTCTTCCCTGAGTGTTTCCAGGTTGGCGTTGCTGCAGTGAAGGTACCTTTTGTAAATTTAATAAAGGGAATGTAGGGGCGGCCTGGCCTTTTTGTTTGACCTGTTGGACTTTGTTTATCAGTAGTGTAGTGAAGGTAGTGTTTTTGTAATTTTCTTTTCTTTTTTTTTGGTAGTTTAGCTAGTTCATGTTTTTTTTTAATATCTCTTGTTTGTTATTTTGGGCTTTGGGCCTCCCTGAACTTATGTTTTCTTTACTTTAGTTGCCTGTTTTAATTATGGGCAGTCTTGCTTCCTCTCTGTTGCGCCCCAGGAGATGTAACGTGTATTATTGTATGCAAGTTTAAACACAGGCTAGTTAAGTAAGTAAGTGTTTACTAAGTTCAGCTGTGTGTTACTAAATCAAAAGTTTGACCACACAAACTAGTTTACGTTGAGCTCAGAAGTTACCATATATTTACACCTCCCTCTAAGCAGATGTAAGTGTTGGGGAAACCAACGGAAACCACACAGAAAGCAAAACAGACCATAAACATTTTTTATTTGGTTAACTAAGCTAAAAACTCAATGCAATTTGCTGTGATTTTACTTACAGCTCTAATCATCGCCCTCATTCTAACTCCGAATATGAAGCTAAACACCCACATCTCCAGCTCTCCAGTGACCTGGTAAAATGACTAAACTGAGGCTGCTGTTGTGTGTCAGCCAAAACCATAGCTGCACATTTGGACGTTGCAAAGAAATATTAAAGAATAAACAGACAGCGGCTAAAAATATTCAGTTTTATTCAACCTGCACACATCGTTCTCTTCTACACTGGAAATGTTTTCCATGGAAAAGTCAGTACAAGCTGCCATTGTGTTTCCATGGAACTCGTTCTGAATGTGTTTGTCATGATAAAGTGACGTACGCATTAGTTACCTGTTACCAGCTCAGACAGGACTTAAGTATTTGTGCTGCAACCGAATTTAGCAAAAGGATAGTTTGAAAACGAACCAGTGTAACTAAGGACTTTCTGCACAAACTCAAGTATAAACTTACTAGTGTAGTTTTTTTGTGATGCTAATGTTAGCATAGTGGCAAGTTTATCATTGTCCTTTACAATCTGCCTTATTTTGATTAGCTACTACAGTCCAGCCTGGTTGTGTAGAATTTTAAATGCCACTGTTTTTCATTTTGTTGAATAAGATTTTTGTCCACTTCCTGCAAATCTTGCAACAGAGGTGAAAGAACACATTTCTGGGTGGAGCAACGACAGGTCAACAGGACATGCTCAGAGTACAGCACTGTGGGTATATATTACTGCAAGGATTAACTGGATTTATTTGAATAGTTAGATACCACTCAGGGACATTAGATACGGTGGGCAAGGGGTCCAGGAACCAGTGATTAGTGATGGACAGTAACAAAGTAAATGTAATTTGTTACTGTAGTTTTTTCCTGTATCTGTACTTTACTGAAGTTTTTTCCATTTTGGGCGACTTTTTACTTTCACTCCACTACATTTCAAAGTCAGATATCTCACTTTTTACTCCACCACATTATGAGAAATCTGTCATTCCTTTTGGTTTATGTGTGCATAAAAACATAACAGGTCAAAACGAAAGAAGAGCGAAGTAAAAACACCAATCAGGGCACAGCGGTCACTTTGTTTTGAGCTTGTTTTGACTGTTGGTCATACCGACCCAGTGCAGCACACGGTTCAACGTCAGTGCAGCAGCGTAAAATTCTGGGAGAGTCTATTCAACATAAATGATGAACAAACCTAACTTTGTGTAAACAGACCACAGTATAGAAATATGTACTCATATGCAGTTGAGACTGACGTGTCTTTATTCTGAATTTATACAAACACATTTCATTTTATAGTAAATTAGTTTAGGCTAGTTTATGTTTATGAACAGAGACCTACAGATGCAGTTTAGTGAAGGAAACTCATTTGTGAATCTGAGTTTAAAACAAGTTTTTACTAAACTTAAACTTGTAAATAAATCTTAAACTGAAACTTTGCTTGTTTGTAAAAAGTAATTTCAGAGCCACTCAGTTCTGCCTGATGGAAACTGTTTGCCTTCAGTGTTTTGTTATGATAATTTTAATAGACATCAGCGTCACTAATTAATGACTCTATTAAAAGACTGGTTTACCAAGAGAGACACTGGAGTATTTTCACCTAAAATGAGTTAATGAAGCGAGTCTTGTTATAAAATGCTAATAGGACATCAGAGCCATAATTAACCTTTTAGTACTTTTACTGCTGATACTTAAGTACATTTGAAGGCAAATACTTTTGTACTTTTACTCAAGTGGAGGTCTAAAGGGAGGAACTTCTACTTTTACTGGAGTAATATTTTACCTTGGGTCTCTCTACTTTAACTCAAGTACATGATTTGTGTACTTCGTCCACCACTGCCAGTGATGTAGTGAACCCACATTCCTTGCTTGGTGGATCTGATGGAGTACCTGAGAGCGCACTGGACGCCCGTTTCGTCCCCATAGGCCGAGTACAGCATCTCCATCTCCTCAGGCAGAAGATCCGGGTAGACGGAGTTATTCTGCAGCGTCTGAGTGTTATACGCACTGCTCAGGAACGTCACTGCACACAGAAAAGGTCCATGAATAAAACCAGTACCATGTCAAACGGAATAGAATTCAACTGTTACTCCATGAGAGTTCTTATTATATTATAATAATAATAATAATAATAATGATAATAATAATGATAAGGATCTCCATAGCAGGCTGAAGTCAGTGTCTTATTCGCCGGCTTCTTGTTCGAATTTTCCCGTTCCACCTTCAATGGTGCAGCAGTTACATTCTGGCACCCCAGGCGTAATAATAATAACTGCTGCACCATTTAAGGTGGAACGGGAAAACTCGAACAAGAAGCTGGCGAATAAGACACTGATTTCAGCTTCGTCAGAGAACACACAAATGCTTTTTTTCGAGTGTGTCCACACTTAAAAAACTTCCTTTCTACAGGATATGATAGTGTTCTTATGGATATGTCGATTTGCACAGGATTAATATAAACTGGGCTTATTTTTATGGCTCATTGTATAGAATATAAAAGACGCTGGAATCTTTACTATCGCAGGAGAGCACAGTCAGTAAAAATGATTGACATGGCTCATTCAGACGGGACTAAAACCACTGAGAAACGCCGGTAATAATTACATTACCCACCTCCTCAGGTAAAACTAATCCTTGGGCTTTAACCAAGTCTTAGAGAAGAAATGATGCATGTGACTAATCTGTGTTTAGGGAACTTCAGTAAAAGCGAAGTGACGCAAACACAGCACTGATTCACAGCAGAAGACCCACTTACCTTTATATCTTCGGTCATCTTTGAATCCCAGCGACGTCAGGCCAGGTAAAAGCTTATTTGACAGGGAGCTTAAATCTACAGAAAGGGTCTCTTCCTCTGTGAAATAATGAAACAAACCTTTAGATTTTTGTTGAGGAGTAGTTGAAGCAGTGTTATGTACACTGTAGTATGTAGAGATGTACAGCACTGTGGTACCTTCAGCCTCCGGGTCCTGCTGATTAACCACGGTGTAAATCAGAGATCCTTCTGCTTCCTTCTTAAGGTAACCAACCTGAGAAAAACAAACACAGTGATACTCCTCAGGTCCCACACAGGGCAGTGCTGCAAGACTATACACCAAAAAACAAAGTCAATGCTATTTTATGTTGCTGGCATAGTTCATGTTTCTCATGACGGACTAAACAGATCATTTTTCTACGGAAGCGACATTTTTCAAAGGCTCTTGTTTTATGTATCTGCAGTTTAACACAAAATAAGTCATTATTATATCTTTAATGCATCCACCTATTGCAGAAAAGCTCCAGTAAATTGTTGTCAAAATTTCTACATTATTAAATTGTGTGTCATTAGATGTAAACAAAGTCACTCAGAGTGGTTTGGTGTGAAATGCACTGTTCTGGAGAAACTTTAGAATCACATCAGAATTGTTCACAGTGGTGGTGATAGGAACCAGACGTCTGAAAGGTTTAATGCCTCTAAAAGCTCCATCACAGGATTTATTATATGACATGGTTATGAATATGATGCCTGACAGTTTAGAGAAAGTTTTGGCCTAAAATGTTTTTTGTTTTTTTTAAATAGATTTTTTTTTTAATTTTTATTTTTTCAGATTTATTATTAATTTTACCATCATCAACATTCCATATCAGAAGACTCGTGTAGGTTCACTGGTGGTTTTGGATAGTAAATAAAATGTCTATATTTGTGTTGTAGTCATGGCGACCCCTGGTTCCTATCACCACCACTGTAAAGACATCGGAGTCAACAACCCTAGATGACTTTGTTCACATCTCAGCCACTGAACAACGCAAAAATTTGGTGGATTTCCCCTTTAATATCTGTTCAGAGCAGCTACAATTTTTGGATGGTGTAATAAAGACCTTATTTTGAAGGCCATAAATCTATAAGTGAAGTGTACCTTAGAGGTCGGCATGAAGCGGTTGATGCGGTCGCGCGCCTCATCGGCTGCGTGCTCCACCAGAGCCAGGACGTGTTCCTCCGCTGTGCTGTCCGTCAGGCTGCAGGCGTTTCCCTCCGGCTCGTACTCACTGAGGAACACACAGGCCGCTCTTACACACTAACATCCTGCACCATTCCCCCTAAAGAGATTTCTGGCTTTGCAGTTAGTAAAGCTACAAACGCTGCAGTCCAGTTTGCAGGACAGTCATCACACTAACTGGTCCTTAGTAGCTTTAGCTGTCTGTTAACTATCAATCATTAGCTTTTATGGCAGGAGTATTACTTTAAAGTGTGGTATTTAACAGCATACACACCAAATCAGGCAGTCTGGGCTGTAGAATGTAAAGGAGCAGCAATTTATAATAGCAAATCTATGACAACTGCATGTTACTGCATTTGTTCTTGTTGTATGCAGAGGTTTGAGCACCCAGTTCAAATTACATGTATTTCTTCACTTCTACACATCCTCAACTGACAACACACTTCTGCACATTTTAATGCACACTTACTGTTTATTTGCTGAATTTAACATACTGGGGGAACAAAATATAAAATGTGGCCTATAAAAAAGTTATATAAAAGTTTTAATTTAAATGGTATGTTTTCATCTCCCCCCCAAATTTACATATTTTATATACACTCAGTAAATATATACTATATATAAATATCTACATATATACTCAGTAAATAAATAGAAATTGTGCATTAAAACTTACAGAAAAGCCATATTTAAGTGTGCTCTCTACACTTAATTATGGAGCCAAAATAAGTGTTAAAACACTAATTTTAAGTGTTAAAATCAACAAAACATTTCATTTGATTAGGGGTTTTCAAACATTGGCACAGAACTATACTATTAAAAAACAGCCCATGATTTTTCCAAAAGGGAAAACCACAAAAATAAGGGGGAAACGACGGTGCTGCAACTATTTACACTATTATATCACACTGTTACAAATCATTGGTCCTAGTCTTCAACAAAAGTTTGCATTTGTTTGTGTTAATTATGCTTACATCAGACACTGCACGTTATTTTTAGTTTAAATTTTTACTTCTGTATTAACAAATATTTTGCACAAGTAATGTGTCATGGTGAATATATATATATATATATATATATATATATATATATATATATACCCATAATTTCGAGGGTGACTATATGCTCCTCTCCTAACAGGTCTCAGAGGCAGGTTTTTACCTGATGATGGGCTCTTTGGCTGGCTGCTTTTTGGATTTTTTGGCCGACTCGGGATGGATGGGAGTGACTTCAGGTATGGACTCGTCGCCGGCCATGTCCTCATCACCCAGGATGGCGGCCTGCTGAGAGAAATCCATGTCGTGCATGAAAGACATGCTGCGCTTCAGAGCTAAGAGCCGCTCCTGCAAACAGAGCAGAAACAGAGCCACAGCCACGCGTTTACTCCTCTACCAGCAGGCCTGAGCGGGCCATGAGCATGGGAGTGAGGGAACTTAAAAAACGGATGGCTCCAAATGGATTTAAAAAAGGCTCTGTTAAAAAAAAAAAATACAAAAAATATGAAAAAATACAAAAATAGATGATTTTATGTATGACTGCATGCAATGCAGGTCACAACTGAACAGAATGCAAGTGAACAGCTCACTCAAGTAATATAATTAAAATGAGAATTAATGAAATGAATTTATGAAAAACAAATTGTGGAAATGATTAAAAATGACTATAATGAAAGACGGATCAAATAACGGTTCGAGTAAACTGAGAAAAGCAAGAAAATCTAGTAAGTGAATGTGGTTATGATGGATGGTGTGCAGGTTCATAACTGCACTAAAACATTTTACTTTGCTCATCATTTTGAAGCCTGTGTGCAGAAGTTTCTTCGCAGCTTTGTAGTAGACGGTCTCTGGTCGGTTATACACCATGGCGTTGTCACACATCAACTTGAAGTCTGCCTAAATATCAGACAGAGAAAAGCAGCAAAGATTCAAGTCAGTTTTAGACTATAGATCAATACGGAACAACAGATAAATAATGCACATAATGTAGATAAGTACTGTAACGTAACTGCAGATTCATACTGGATTAAAATCACTCCACAATTATTACTGTCAGACTGTAAAACTACACACTGCAGATTCATACTGGATTAAAATCACTCCACAATTATTACTGTCAGACTGTAAAACTACACACTGCAGATTCATACTGGATTAAAATCACTCCACAATTATTACAGTCAGACTGTAAAACTACACACACTGCAGATTCATACTGGATTAAAATCACTCCACAATTATTACCGTCAGACTGTAAAACTACACACACTGCAGATTCATACTGGATTAAAATCACTCCACAATTATTACAGTCAGACTGTAAAACTACACACACTGCAGATTCATACTGGATTAAAATCACTCCACAATTATTACTGTCAGACTGTAAAACTACACACTGCAGATTCATACTGGATTAAAATCACTCCACAATTATTACAGTCAGACTGTAAAAACTACACACACTGCAGATTCATACTGGATTAAAATCACTCCACAATTATTACCGTCAGACTGTAAAACTACACACACTGCAGATTCATACTGGATTAAAATCACTCCACAATTATTACTGTCAGACTGTAAAACTACACACACTGCAGATTCATACTGGATTAAAATCACTCCACAATTATTACTGTCAGACTGTAAAACTACACACTGCAGATTCATACTGGATTAAAATCACTCCACAATTATTACCGTCAGACTGTAAAACTACACACTGCAGATTCATACTGGATTAAAATCAGAGATCTACTCAATACAGCATCGTTCTTAGTGGTGGAAGTCTACTGCAATGTAATCATATTTTCAATTACCTTAAACTCTGTGACTGTTTTGTATTCGTTCGTTGTGATCTTCTCCTTCATGGTGCTGAAGTCCATGGGGTGTTTGATGATCATGGAGTATCCCGGGGCGATGGCGTCTGTCACAGGGAACGCGAAGAACCCATGTGGATCTTTCCTGAGGAGATGGACACACACGGACAGTATAAGCACATTAGCACAGGACCAGGAGAGAGAAATAAAGTGTATGAATGTCAATAATAAACAGAAGGAGTGCTTGCAGTATCTGGTTGCTGTATATTGTTTTATATTGTGAAGAAATGCTGTATATTATCAGCCTGCACCTCTGGAGCAGACGCAGGAAGTGCTCGAGAAGCTGCTGGCGAGGTGTGCACTCGTTTTCTGGAATAAGATCAGACGAGATACACATATTAGCAAAACAAACAGTAACGGCATACAAGCAATAGTGAAGTGTGGAAAAGACTGCTCCTTTTCTCAGCGCAGCACTGCAGTGAGGCTTGACAGATTCAATAGTAACTTAAGTAAGGCAGTAACAGTGTCAATCTATAATATGTCAATATATATCAGATTAGTTGAGTAATGTAACACTTCTGTAACCAGTTCCTCTCTTTACCGCTGTGATACTGCCTTTTTCTGGTACTTGTATCCTGCATGTCTCATTACATTTGAATTATTTTACTCTGTTTATGGACTACTGGGCTTTTTCATGTCTTGTGAAATCAGAGACTGAGCCTTATAATGTACTGTAATTATTTACATACACTTTTTCCAAATTAAGTTTTGACCTTTCACTGTTTTGCACAATGAGGACAGTGAATCGGTATTGGATGGCCCTGTGAACTCACCTTGCTGGGTGCGACAGGCTCTAACGGGCCGATCCGCCTGCGCCTCCACCTCCACCTTCACACTGGGCTGGAAATCATCAGCTTCAGGTTCGGCTTCCAGCTTCTCCCTCTTCCTCTTCTTCTCCTCCACCACCACCTGCAGCACAGCCACAGCATCACACACATTTTCTAAGCCGCCTGTCCTCCCGGATCGCAGTGGGTGCTGGAGAGTATGGACAGACTGCCAGTCCATCACAGGGCAGACAGACATATACATTCACACACACACACACTCACACCGTGGGGCAATTTAGCATCTACAACTGGCCTGACTGCCTGTCTTTGGCCTGTGGGAGGAAACCCACACAGACACAGGGAGACCATGCAAACTCCACACAGAAAGAACGCTGGTTGCCCGGCCGGGGAATCGAACCCTTCTTGCTGTGAGGCGACAGCGCTACCCACTGTGCCACCGAGCCACGGGATCAGTTAACGCAAACGCAGCAGTGCACGCACAGAAAACGTCATATACAGCATTTTTAAGATGACAGAATATTCAAACCATTTTAGCCTTATTTTTATTTTCAGTGAAATCTGTTACCTCCACAGGCTTGGACAGAGTGAAAGGCTCCACTGGTGCACTGGCTGCATTTTCTAACTGCTCTCTCTCTCGTTTCTTCTTCTTCTCCTCCTGGGAAAGGTGGGTGAAGCCAATGATGAAATTTTTATATTCTACAATAATTTTCTAAACATATTATCAAATGATGGTCGGTTAAAACAGCACAAACTGATATTACACTATTGCCTCAGCAATAACATCAGTAATAAATTAGTTCTTGCATCTATAATACAGTAATAATGCAGCAGACCCATCAGATCCTCCTTTACCGACCTTTCTTCTCCTCCTCTCCTCGTCGTCCACGTGCTTGTCCTTCTCCTTTTCTGATTTCTTCTTTTTTTTCTTTTTCTTCTCTTTGTGTCGCTCATGGTCAGAGCGGTCGTCGTAGTAACTCGAGTCGTGTCCCGAGCCGGACAGTTCGGTGACCTCACTTCCTCCGACCTTCAGTACAAGCTTCAGCGGCTTTTCTAGAGGTTTGTCCTCATAATCTGAGAAAAATAGAGAACAGAAACAAAATCATCACTAAAACTGAGCGTCAAGACATGGATACCTCTACTGGAGCAACCGAATCACTTCAGCACCACATCAAAATCTGTATTTCAATGTCGAACTTTATTACTTTATTACTATCTTATCAGGGTCAGTGATCCAATAAGCACCCTTTTTTTCCAAAATCTACACCAATGACTCGCTGTCTAAATTACAATCCATAACCATGAGATTAAAATCTTCACAATCTGACAGTTCAGGGTTCGATGCTGTGACTGGAACTGTCAGAACAGATTTTTTGGTGTCTGAGTCTGTAAAAGCACTAGGAAGTTAAAAGAAGTAGTAGAAGTGTTTGCCAAGAAAAATTATATATCATGCAATTTTCTTTTTTCTTAAGCTGAATTTTCACAATATATAGATACATGCCAAAAATATCAAGCTTATTATCAAACACATTATTATTTTAAACTCAGTAACTTCTATTTTAAAAATACTATTTTGGGAAAAAAAAAATTGGTATTGAAGTAATTTGGTCACTAATAAACTCTGTGAGTTCGCGTGGTCTGCCACTTCACGGCTGAGCTGTTGTTGCTCCTATACGTTTCCATTTTGCATTAATAGCACTTACAGTTGGCTGGGGCAGATCTAGCAGGACAGAACTTCCATGAACTGACTTGTGGCAGAGGTGGCCTCCTATGAACAGAGTCACTGAGCTCTTCAGTACGACCCTCTACTGCCAGTGTTTACAAGGCTATGGGCTTAATTATATCCACCTGTTAGCAACGGGTGTGGCGGAAAAACCTAAACACAATAATTAGGTGGGGTGTCCACATACTTTTGGCCTAGTGTAGTATAGTGTAACTATAGAGAGTGCCAGTAATCTGTACAAACTTCCAGAGAAAGGTGGGTAATGCCACAATGCCAATCACTTTGAGCAGAATACTGCTGCCACATTTGACTCACTGATGTCCAACAGATATATTTATTAGAAACAGGAAAAAATACAGCAGAAAGTGTTGTGACAGGAATAAAGTGATGAAATGTTGTAAAGTTATACTCCGGATGAAGATCTAACCTTGGAGAGGAATTCACGCCAGATTGAAAAGCATCACTACAGTGGAAAAACGTGAAATGCAACACACACATGACATTTCCTTACAACAGCCATGCCTTCATTACATTTGAAAGACTGTATTCAATTCTGACATGAATTCAGCATTTCATTTTTAAAACGAAAATCCTCATGCACTGTTCGCGTTTTTCCACTGTAGTGACAGCTTTTCAATCTGACATGAATTCATTTCCATATCTAACAGATATTTTTTCATTCTTTCATTTTATTTTAACTTTCATCTTTATTAAATATAAGTAGTCCTATACGTCCACAAGACCAAATTTAATATTACACGATGATATAAGGTGACAAAGTGTCTTTTTAGTCATGTGTTTTGACCAATTTGAAACATTTCTTCAGAAGTATCCTTCCTTAACCTCTTACTGAATTTACACGAAGCAAATTATTCAGTAACTGCATGAAATAACTGTAAATTTTTTTTTTTTTGTAAAAGCTCCTCTCAAATTAACAGAACATGTGTTTTATGATCATAAACATAATACAACATGCTTACAATTTACCGCTGAAAGCCAAAAATCTTTGTTATTTTCATAAAAATAATTTGTACAGAGCAGATCACTGAAGAGACGCCATCGGTTTATAGTTTATAGTTTATAGCCCAGATTTGTGGAAAAATGGGTCGACTTTCAGTAGAAAACAAAATTGTGAGTTCAGCTTCTTTTATTATAAGGGTTTAAAATTATATCACCCATCTATTTGACTGGAAAGCAGACAGTTTCAGCTCTCATACGACCCCCACCTTTAGAATGTAGCTTATGAAATATGAAAGTTATGAAGAATATGACGAAGTGCGTTTTGGAACCACCGGTGGTCCCAAGGAGTTTAAGAGGTTAAATATAAGTATTATTTTAATATTTAAATTTTAATTTAATATTATATGATGATATAAGGTGACACAGTGTCTTTTTAGTCATATGTTTGGAGCAACTGAATCACTTCAGCACCACATCAAAATCTGTCCTTCAATGTCAACCTTTACAACATTAGTACTCAACCGTATCAGGGTCAGTGATCCAATAAGCACGCTTTTTTTCCAAAATCTACACCACTGACTCGCTGTCTAAATTACAATCCATAACCATTTCAAGATTAACATCTTCAAAATCTGACAGTTCAGGGTTCGATGCTGTGACTGGAACTGTCAGAACAGATTTTTTGGTGTCTGAGTCTGTAAAAGCACTAGGAAGTTAAAAGAAGTAGTAGAAGTGTTTGCCAAAAAAAAAAAATATATCAAGCAATTTTCTTTTTTTCTTAAGCTGAATTTTTCACAATATGTAGATATATGCAAAAAATATCTAGTTTATTATCCATCCATCCATCATCTAAACCGCTTATCCTTCTGGGTCACGGTGGGGTGCTGGAGCCGGAGGGCAGGATACACCCTGGACAGGTCGCCAGTCCATCGCAGGGCAGACATCTAGTTTATTATCAAACATATTATTATTTTCCTTTAATTTTACTTTTACTTTTATTATAATCAAACTCATTTTATTTAAAATACTGTTTTGAAAAAAAAATGGCATGAACCAATTTGGTCACATAAAACACTGCTGTTCTGTGAGTTTGCGCGGTCTGCCACTTCACGCCTGAGCTGTTGTTGCTCCTATACGTTTCCATTTCGCATTAATAGCACTTACAGTTGTCTGGGGCAGATCTAGCAGGACAGAACTTCCACGAACTGACTTGTGGCAGAGGTGGCCTCCTATGAACAGAGTCACTGAGCTCTTCAGTGCGACCCTCTACTGCCAGTGTTTGTCTATGGAGACTGCAAGGCTATATGATGATATAAGGTGACGGCGTCTTTTTAGTCATGTGCTTTGACCAATTTGAAACATTTCTTCAGATTTCATGTGGACTAAATGTACAATATGGACATTAATGGACAGAAACCTGTAAAAAATTATCGTGTGTCATCTTGTACACCCTTGAAATCACTGTCAGCCCATTCATTAAAAAACAGAGGCCAAATAGCAAAGCATTCATTAATGCAGATCTCTAATAGATATTATAACACACAGCTCATCCACAGGAATCCCTGCATGATGACTGATTGCCGTTATTAACGGTAATAAGCGCTGATGTCTGTTCAGCTGCTGTACTGCTCCGTTTCCAGCACAGCAGACAAAGATTTTCCGCTTAAACCGTCGTTTTCTCACACAAACACGCACCTCCTTCCACCGTCCTCCACTCGGGTTTGTATTTCTTGTGCTTCTTCCCCATTTTGCGCTTCTCTCCGGCGCTGAATTAAAAGATTATAAACAGAAATTTGGACCTTTTTGCAGAACCGAGTCCGCAGCCGAAAACAAGACAATCCACTTCCGACGAGGCTCAGCACTGTTTCCGTTCCGAAGCCACGCCCTCCAGGGGCATGACGTTCATCCCATTCGCGATTTGATTGGGCGACGCTTTGCAGCTGAGCAGTGGCGAGGGTTCATATGTTTTATATTTTATCATTTTATCACTAATCATAAAAAATAATGATGAATTATTTCAATGATTAATTAATTTTCTTTAATAATAATGATTGAACGTATAAAAACTCTGTATATTTGTGTTGTAGTCATGGCGACCTCTGGTTCCTATCACCACCACTGTAAAGGACTCTGGGTTTGACAACAAACCATGAATTACACAGAAATCTCAGAAATGTTTAAAAAAACAGTGAAATTGAACCTTTAACTGTTTGTTTTAACCGTTCTGTTTGTTTACCACAATAAATGTTGTGCAGAATATAGATAGATAAATGTGTTAGTTTCAGTAGCCGGATATTTAAATCAGTCAGGGCTTTTTAAGAGATCAGTATCATTTCTGTCATTTGAGGTTCTTGTGAAGTCTGAAAATAGTGATTAATTAATCATTCAGACCGTCGTGAAAGCAATAAGAGTTCGATACGAGCTATAAAAGAACGCAAAAAGCACCAAAATTATTATTTTTGGTCGTTTTGTTGCGCAAACATGTTGTATTTTTATTAACGTTATATCATAACATTGTTATTGAATATTTTTACTGTATATTCGAAATACTCGATGACTGAAATGAGTGTCCAATGTGTCTGGATCCCCATGGTAACTGTAACTAAGGGCAGAAACGGTCCAATCAGCGCTCTCAGTTGGAAAAGTTTATCCAATCAAATCGGTTCGGACTCAAGCGTCATGACCCAAGGGGCGGGACTTCGGCGCCACTCGTCTCTCTGGTAGGGTTCATATTTGCGCGGGAAGTTCGGTGTCAGTGGTGGATTTACAGCAACGGCGGGACGTGAGTTGCGGTGTTTTTATCGTTTATTAACTCCAATTTCTAAGGATGACATAAATTAGACAGTCGCGTAAACGTATTTGTTGGTCGTAGCTGCAGTTTTGTTCGTTGTTTCCCTTTACGGCTCCGGTTTCTGACTGATAGCAGCGCTGCTAACCTCGCTAGTTAACTCTTTAGGCTGTGTTCTAAACCACATAGTGCTCTACACACTATGCGCCTTCCGTCTAATCATTTTGGTAGTTATGCTGGTGGATGTACCGCTGATTGAGGTGCACTATTTAATATGGCAGTACGCGTTTTTGAACGCAGCCCACGTTAAACCCTCTAATTGCGTTTTCTGAGCTGTTTATTCGCTGCTGCACTGTTAAAAAGATGGTTCTTCAAGGGTTCTTTAGTTAAGGAAATGATTCTGTTTAGAACCATGAGTTCCATATAGAACCATTTCGTGCTTCGTCTGTTGTGACAAGTTTGTCATCACAGAAGAATCCCAAATACAACACGTTCTCCTCCAGTGTGAAGATCCATTTCAGCACGCAAAGAACCATTTAAGCATTTAACCGTTGTAGTAAAGAATCACTGAAGAACATCTTTTTAAGAGTGTAGAGTTAAGAACGCGTTGGTTTTTCGATGGTTGAGATTTGTGTTTGTTAATAACATAACTTTTGTTAGCTGTCAAGTGTTGTCAAATGTTGTTTAATAAACTATATAGCTGTCTTAATAAATGGTCAACATTAAATGGTCAAGATGTAAACAGAGTCGTTCAGAGTGGTTTGGTGTGAAACGCTCTGTTCTAGAGAAACTTACAGAGTCAGAACTGTTCACAGTGGTGGTGATAGGAACCAGACGTTCACCTCTAAAAGCTCCCTCACAGAAAGTTACTACAGGAAATGATTATGAATTCACTGCCCGATGACTGAGACACTGTTTTGTGATAGTTTTGAGGTCCAGTTATGGCTTAAAATATATATTTTTAAAAGCAATTCATTGTGGTTCACATGCAGTGTGTTCTAAGGCGAAACAATCCCCAAAGAAAACTTATTTTCCCAGATTTATCACTATTTTACCATCATCAACGTTACATATAAAACTCGTGTAGGTTCACTGGTGGTTCTGGATAGTAAATAAAATGTCTATATTTGTGTTGTAGTCATGGCGACCCCTGGTTCCTATCACCACCACTGTAAAGGACTCTGAGTTTCACAACAAACCATGAATGACAATCTCACAGACTTTTGAAAAATCGGTGTAATTGCCCTTTAAACGCATCTGTTTGTTTATCACAAGAAATGCGGTGCAGAAATGGATAGATAAATGTATTAGTTTTGGTAGCTGGATATTTAAATCAATCAGTGCTTTTTAAGAGATCAGTATCATTTGTGTCATTTAAAGGATGAATGGAGAGAAGATGGAAGTTGGCTGGAATCACCACCAGCAGCCTGCTGAGGACGGCGTCACTGACCGAATCGATATCCACATTGAGGTTCTTGTGAAGTCTGAAAGGTACTAATGACCTGACAAGTTTAAGTCCAGTTACTTTATCTACATAAAACACACACAAAAAATCTTCTATCCAAGTCAGTTGGGGTTTGGGTCGGACAGAGAATCTAAGATTTCAGTTGCGTTTAATAGATGTACACCGATCAGGCATAACATTCTGACCACCTCCTTGTCCATTTTATCAGCTCCACTTACTATATAGGTGCACTTTGTAGTTCTGTAGTTACAGACTGTAGTCCATCTGTTTCTCTGATACTTTGTTACCCTGTTCTTCAGTGGTCAGGACCCCCATGGACCCTCACAGAGCAGGTACTATTTGGGTGGTGGATCATTCTCAGCACTGCAGTAACACTGATGTGGTGGTGGTGGTGTGTTAGTGTGTGTTGTGCTGGTCTGAGTGGATCAGACACAGAAGGAGTTTTTAAACACCTCAGTGTCACTGCTGGACTGAGAATAGTCCACCAACCACAAATATCCAGCCAACAGCGTCCTGTGGGCAGCGTCCTGTGACCACTGATGAAGGACTAGAGGATGACCAACACAAACTGTGCAGCAGCAGATGAGCTATCGTCTCTGACTTTACATCTACAAGGTGGACTGACAAGGTAGGAGTGTCTAATAGAGTGGACAGTGAGTGGACACAGTGTTTAAAAACTCCAGCAGCACTGCTGTGTCTGATCCACTCGCACCAGCGCAACACACACTAACACACCACCACCACGTCAGTGTTACTGCAGTGCTGAGAATGATCCACCACCTAAATAGTACCTGCTCTGTAAGGGTCCATGGGGGTCCTGACCACTGAAGAACAGGGTAAAAGGGGGCTAACAAAGTATCAGAGAAACAGATGGACTACAGTCTGTAACTGTAGAACTACAAAGTGCACCTATATAGTAAGTGGAGCTGATAAAATGGGCAATGAGCGTAGAAACAAGGAGGTGGTCATAATGTTATGCCTGATCGGCGTACAGTTGGATGCTGTTTTTTGCTGCACATCAACGAAAGCATCTACAGTGGAGTCTCAAAATAAGTGTTAGTGTTTTTTGTCTGCTGTAAATCACTCTGAGTTCGTGCCTGCAGCACTGTGAGAAGGTCTGAAGTGAGGACACACGTTTTGGCTCTGCTGGACCGACACAGCCTGATTATTGGGTCTTACAAGTGGACCGAGTTCGACGATGAGTTTCTGACTAAAAATGTTGAGTCAGTTGCCGTGGTGGACGTCGATGTACCGGCAGTAAGTGTAGCGTTACTTTTCACTTCTCTGTCCTTTTTGACACTTTTACCCATGTACTGTTTCATCATACTGTCATTTATTACTTTTTAATATCTCGTTAGATCTCTCCTGGGGAAATGTTTTACTTTTCTGCATTACTTTAAGACACCAGGAAGATCCTGTATCACTCAAATTTCATTGTCAGTAATCAGGCTTAGATTCGGTGAACCACTAGGCATGCTGGTTCCAAAGTCTGGACTCCTGACTGTTTGTCTAATTTACATTCCATAAGCATATTTTTAATATCAGCAGTTCTGTATTAGTCTGCAGTTCATCAGGGTCACTACATAAATCCACTTCCAGCACCTCACACTCATATCTGCTTTAAGCCACACCCACTTTTGCACAGCTGTTTAAGTGTTGGCTTTGTTGTTAGGAGATCGCACGCTTGATCCCAGGTGATGCCACAGCCATCCGTGTCTGGGCGTCCATTGGAGAGTAACTATCCTCTCTCTGTCTCTGGGTTGTAGTGGAGCTTCAGGAGAATTGGAGGAAGCATGTAGTAGCGTTCACCCTCCCAGCTTGGGTGCAGCGTGTGACTGGGGACCTAGCCACGTCTAAAGTTTGAGTGGAAATTAGGTTTAAACAAAAAAACAGTTCAGTAAGCTGTTTCAAAGTCAAAGTGTTGTTCCTGGTATATAAAGAGAAATTTTTAACGATATCCTGTCCTAGGCTAGGTCTTTAACAGAGCAGGAAAAAGTGGCCCAAATCTGATTTTCTCACCAAATCCGATTTTTTGTTTGGCTGTTCAGATTATCTTTTAAATGTGATCTGAATGCGACATCAGTCTGAACAGATCAGCTCCTAAACTGACCCGCATGCGCTAAAGAACAGAGCTTCACGGCTCATCCAGAGGTAAACAATCATGACTACCAACGAACGCCAGTCGCTCCCGGAGGATCAGCTTCATCTTCACCAGCATCACAGGAGCCATCATGAAGCTTCACTGACTGACAGCTGAGCTCGTCACCAGAATGTGTTCGAGCCGTAAAAAGGGCGCGGCCACTTCTTTGGTTCGCGTCCTCGGATTCTTTAAACTCTGCTTTCAGACTTTTAACTGTTCTCTGACGCTGCAGCCTCGTTCTCCTGCGGCCGCGTTCGGACATTTCTTTCAAAACCTCTTCAAACACAGAGGATTTTGGATGAGTTTCTTCAGATTTTTGTACAGAAAGCTCAGCCCAAATGTTTGAGTCTCAGCAGTGTGAAATTATGACGAATGTGGAGTTGGATTGACGTAAAAGTCATGAATTCCGATCTGGCAGTTTAGAATGAGTTACAGTGCCGCAGATCGGATACGTATCAGATTTCAATACCACATATGAAAGCGTCTCAAATCGGAATTGAAAATGTCAGATTCAGTGTGTTTATCTGTTCACACTGACACACAGACACACATCTGTGTCACATATGAGGAAAAGATCAGATTTGGGCCACTTTTACCTGCTGAGTTTTACCAGCGCTGTTTTAGTCATGTCATGTTTACGTTCATGATGACACAGAGGAAGGTGTATGTAGTGTTAGGAGTCTTTCCCACTGACTCTTATGTAGCACTGAGTGCTAAGCGCTCGCCCTGGCTGGGAATTGAGCCTCAGTCCACTGCATGGTGCAGTGTTTCCCACCATGACACACTAAACAAACTTCTTTTACTTCTCATTAATCTGTTTGTTTGTTTGTTTGTCTGTTCTTTTGTTTGTTTGTTTGGTGAGATGCAGGTTTTTATGTGCTGTTTTATCCCTGCTTTACTGTCTTCTCTGTCATGCACTAATTAAAATTCCTAACAACTAAGTTGGTGTGTCAAAAAATAGTAATATTAATTTGTAATTTAAATCAAGTCTCTTCATTGTGGTCATCAGTGTATCCATGTTGTTTTTCTGTCTGCAGCCTCTGGATCTGAAGATGAACAATCTTTGTGTTCACATCTTCTCCCTGAATGATGACGGACCCAGCACACTAAACCTGGAGGAAGAGGAGGAGCTTTCTGCAGCCAATCACTGGCTCCTACCAGCAGGTCAGTCGTCTCAGGCGAGCTGACTTGTGTCCACTTCCCTCACCGCTTCACCGAGTCGCATTCCCTCTGGATGGCCCCTAACCTGGCTGTAGGAAGACTTAAGATTTAAAGCCACTGTTTTCAACACCTCTTCAAATTTATACTAAACATTTTTCCTTTGTCCACTTTATTCACTCGGTGTGGACTGAGGTTATATCGCTACATAGTGCAATTGCACTGTGCATTAAGTGATAGTATTAATAATAAAGTGATAACAAGGAACAAAATATATTGTGCAACCTTATTATGAATATGAACTAAACTGTTTTTGGGAATATTTTCTTTTTTTTTAAAATTTATTTATTTATTTATTTATTTTATTTTATTTACTTTCATTTCAGTTAATTAATAAGGTTCAAGTGATCTTGCTTTATGTACTGTGCTTCCTTATTTATAAGCATGGTTGCAGCCTAAAGACGATTTAGCAAAAACCAGTTCTTTCTATTAAAACTACTTTAAAATTAGTTGTTTTATCAATTACAGCTGAGCTTCATGGCATTTGGGAAAGCTTGATTTATGAGGAAGCAATCAAGACGCAAGTAAGAAACTTAAAAACTGTAACTTTCACTAAAATACTAAAATAATGTTTTTTGTGTAATAATGCATTTTTTTCTCTTTTCCTCCAGCTCTTGGATTACGTCTCAACAGCGATTTTCTTTTCTGATAAAAACGTTGACAGCAATTTGGTTACCTGGAATCGAGTTGTATTACTTTATGGTAAGCCTGAATTAACCATATTAACAATTACAAAATATTTGTGCATAATTTATTTATTAAATCTTGATTTATTGAATCTGCTAAAAAGAAATCACTTAAAATAATAGTATGTCCAAAGCCTATGCTGCGGACAGACCCACACTCAAATGACTGACCATATAGGTGCACTTTGTAGTTCTACAGTTTCAGACTGTAGTCCATCTGTTTCTCTGATACTTTGTTAGCCCCCTTTTACTCTGTTCTTCAGTGGTCAGGACCCCCATGGACCCTCACAGAGCAGGTACTATTTGGGTGGTGGATCATTCTCAGCACTGCAGTAACACTGACGTGGTGGTGGTGTGTTAGTGTGTGTTGTGCTGGTACGAGTGGATCAGACACAGCAGTGCTGCTGGAGTTTTTAAACACTGTGTCCACTCACTGTCCACTCTATTAGACACTCCTACCTTGTCGGTCCACCTTGTAGATGTAAAGTCAGAGACGATAGCTCATCTGCTGCTGCACAGTTTGTGTTGGTCATCCTCTAGTCCTTCATCAGTGGTCAGAGGACGCTGCCCACAGGACGCTGTTGGCTGGATATTTTTGGTTGGTGGACTATTCTCAGTCCAGCAGTGACACTGAGGTGTTTAAAAACTCCAGCAGCACTGCTGTGTCTGATCCACTCAGACCAGCACAACACACACCAACACACCACCACCACGTCAGTGTTACTGCAGTGCTGAGAATGATCCACCACCCAAACAGTACCTGCTCTGTGGGGGTCCATGGGGGTCCTGACCACTGAAGAACAGAGTAACAAGGTACACAGAGAAACAGATGGACTACAGTCTGTAACTGTAGAACTACACAGTGAAACTATATGGTCATATAAAATCAAATTTTGACCTCAGAAAGTAAAAAAAAAATGTATCAATTGTTTTGAATCATGAAAACGTGTATCGTTACACCACTACTAGCCACATTAGCGTTGTTGGACGAACTCTTCTTTTAATCCTGCAGGGCCTCCAGGCACTGGAAAGACGTCCTTATGCAAAGCACTCGCCCAGAAACTCTCCATCAGAATGTCAGGAAGGTGAGACGTTTTGCAGGAATACTGATAAATATCCCATCTTGCCTGTTTTCTCCTTGCTTATGTGGATTTTTCTTTGACAGGTATTCATATGGACAGTTTGTGGAAATCAACAGCCACAGTCTGTTTTCTAAGTGGTTTTCCGAGGTATAATTAATCTTCTATGGCTTCTGTGACTCTTATAAAACTCTTAAAAACAACGTGTCTAATGATGGGGAGAATTAAATGAGAAGCAATTTTATATAACCAGTTTAAAACGATTAGCATGCAAACTGTTACTGGCATTATTTTCAAAAACCTGTTAACTGTTAGGTTTCATTCGTTTTTAGCCACATGTTGTCACATGTATTTGAATTAAACTGTCTGTCTCCTTTTATAGAGCGGTAAACTTGTCACGAAGATGTTCCAGAAGATTCAGGAACTGATTGATGACAAAGAGGCTCTTGTTTTCGTCCTAATTGATGAGGTAAGCTTGGTTGTCTGTGCATGTTTTCGAGTCATGGAACAGTAGACGTTATTGATACACAAAGGCTTCCTCAGTTCAGTGATCTGTGAGGTGTTCGCTGCATTATTGAACACTTGGCAGGTAACCTGTACATGTTTGCACCTGTGAAGTGTGCGGTTTCTTGATCAGTTCCTTGGAATGCTCACATGAACTCCTGTTTCAGTTTTTGGGGTTTGCTGAAGACAGAAAATTCCAGAAATGCTTAAACAGCAAACCAGAACTGCTGTACAGATGTGATTAGTCTTCCCACTAAATACAGGGTGTCCCAAAAAAATGTACTTCATTTGAGATGTGAATATCTGAGTAGCTACGTGTCCAGGCAAACGAAATTAAACAGGCTTCATGCTGAACAATACAAGATTTATTTATCAAAATTTGAACAAGAAATTCAGAGGGATGTAGATTTTATAACCGATTTCACAGCTTCACAAATGTAATATCTTCTGATACTGGTGGTCGTCCAGATCCCTTTACGCTGCACAGACAGCCTTCCTCTTTGAATTTTCGAGAATTTTTTTCTCGAAAATGCTCTTGTTTGACTGTGTTTGAGCAGATTCTAACACACACAGTGCCTTTTCATTTCTAGTGAACGCCATTCTTCAACCTGATAAAAAAAAAACATAAAATTTAACTTGGTTAGTTTTTACACATTTTTGTTATTTTATTTTTTTTTTTTTTCTCAATTTTTACCCGATTTTTTTCCCCAATTTAGTCGTCTCCAATTCCACCCGCTAGTTAGGACTCCCCCAATCACACGATGCTATCAACGCTAGGAGGGTGAAGGCTAACACAGGCTTCCTCCGAGACCTGTGAAGCGCCACCGCTTCTTTTCGAGCTGCCGCTCACGCAACGTCACTGGACAGCTGAACGCGCTCGGAGGAAAGCGCCAACCGCCAGATCTGTTACGTCAGCTAACAGACGCCTGCGCTGACTAGCATCGCGCTGAGTGATGGGGGGCGAAGGGGGGCCATCCCACCCACCCAGAGAGAGCGAGGTCAATTGTGCTCTCTCGGACTCCCGGCTACGGACGGCTGTAGCATCACCAGGGATCGAACTCGTGATCTCCTGATGAGGGACAACACTTAGATGGTTGCGCCACTCGGGAGCCGCATTTCGTTAAAATTTGAGATGATTTGAGGGAGATTTGTTATTAGACTACGAAATGATGTCCATTTTTTTGGGACACCCTGTATGTCTAATGCAAAGAGCTTCATTTCTAAATTAAATTAACATTTATTTGACTCTATAATGAGTACTGTACTCTATGGGTTTGCAATATGACAGTATTTTAATGTTATCGTGATCATTTTTGTTATCATGGTACGCAATATGCTTTTCAAATACACAGTCGAGTCACATTATTATGACCACTTCATGTCCACAAGCTGGTGGTGGCAGCGTTATGGTCTGGGGAATGTTCTCGTGGCGTTCTCTGGGCCCACTCATCCACGTGGAAGGCACTCTCAACCGATCTGTGTATGAATCCATCCTAGCAGATCTCGTACACCCATACATGCTGACTGTCTTCCCTGGAGCAGATGGGCTCTCCCAGCAAGGCAATGCGACGCATCACGCGGCTAGAAATGTCCGACGTTGGTTGGAAGAGCATGACCAAGACTTCCAAGTATGACCCTGGCCCCCAGACTTGAACCCAATTGAACATCTGTGGGACCACTTCGATCGTCGTGTTGGCTATATGGATCCTCCCCTGTGCTCCCTCCAGCAACCTACCAGGGCCTTACTGAGTCACTCCCAGCCCGTCTAGCTGCCGTCTGTGCTGCACACGGTGGTTACTCAGGATATTAGCTGGTGCTCATAATAATGTGATTCGACCGTGTTTATCGTGGATGTCATCAGTATTTATAAGCACTGACCAACTGCATGTTTCTTTATAAAGAGAGAGAAATTAGTGATGTTTAACAGGTTTAGTTCAGTGTAGTATGTGAAATACTGAATCGTAATCATTGCGTTTGTAGTTTAAATGGGAGACTTCTAGTGCATTTTGTCTGTTGACAAATTATTGTTACAGTATCGTGATATAGTTAGATGGATGGATGGGTGGATCACTTTATTAATCCCAGAGGGAAAGTCGTCTATTACAGCAGCACAAATTACAGTAAAGAGCAAAACAACAGCAAAAGTATAGACGTACGCTTTTGTACAGATGCAAAAATTGAAATAAAGACATACAGTAAAATATACTAAAACAACCATAAAATATAATGTGCAGTAATGAGAATAAGCAGCATCGCATAAATATGCGAAATATGACCATGCAGAGGTGCATGTCACGTCCAGTGGATGAACCGAGTGACTGTAAACAGTAACGTATGGTAACAGTTGTGCAATATGCCTGGGTGTATAAGTAAGTGGCAGTGCAGCATACAATATTTAGAGATGTATAAACATTGTTTTTATACATTTTATTACATAGAAAAAAGTGATTTGTTAGAGAACTAATTTGCATGTTGCTGCCTTCTGTAATGTCGCTGTTACAAAAGTCAGCACTTTATTGTTAATAATAATTTACAAGTGTTTTATTTTGCAGCAGCCAGGTGGCGCAGTGAGCTGTAACAGTGGATGCTGTGGTTTTGTGTTTATGGGCAGGTGGAGAGTCTGACAGCGGCACGAAACGCCTCTCAGGCTGGAACAGAACCTTCAGATGCTATCAGAGTGGTCAACTCAGTCCTTACACAGCTGGACCAGATCAAACGGTCAGAGAGTGTGTGTTTGCGTGCTTGTCTTGCTAACCTTAAGAGGTCCTGTCCTCACAGTGATAGGACAACGTGACAGTTTTGCACAAGTGAGGACATTTTGCTGGTCCTCACTTGAACACGTGTTGTTTTAACTAATTTTTTTTGTAAATTTTTCAATTTTTCTTTGAAAAATTAAAAGACCAGAAAAATTACCTTTTTGAAATCAAAGTGGCTGCAGGAATACAGAAATCAGTAGAAATCAATGAAAGTCCTCACAGGTAATCTAAGTGGAGTGTGTGTGTGTGTGTGTGTGTGTGTGTGTGTGTGTTTTTTAGAAATTTTTCCTGACTTTGTAATAAACCACAAAAAAATATATGGAATTATTACATCTACAATCTATAGTACGGTGCAAAAGTCACAGACCACCCTTCATTTATTTATTTTCCATTCATAAATTAGTCATTTTTTCAGGAGATATTTCTGTGGAGATTAGATAGAAGATAATTCACTTGCGCAAAAAAGGAGCAAGTCAAAGAAAATTTAGATGAAAAAACTGGAGCTCAAAAACTGATTAAACGCTACAGAGAAAATGAGCTGGTAGACCCCAAAACTGCCCCCATCAGATAAACAGCACTTAAAGCTTTCATCTCTGAGAGAGAGGAGAAAATCAAGCTGCTTCAGATCTGAAAACATCCACAGGTGTTTCTGTCCATCCTTCCACTGTGAGAAGACGACTCAGCGCTGTGGGTCTGAAAGGATGTGTAGCTGATCAAGAAGAACCTCACTGAGAAAAGGAGACGGACACATCAAACAAAGAAGCTGAACGATGGACTGACCACCCCAGAGTCCAGACCTCAACACCATGGAATGTGTTTGATTACTTCAGAAAGTCATCAACGAACTCTTTTTTACTTCCTGATGCTGAAAAATTAATGACGTACACTTAATGGCCATATTGACTGCAAATTACATAAATACAGGGTGGTCTCTAACCTTTACATAGATGCATATATCGCTGCTGTCAGAAGAAAAAGCTTGTGTCTCCATCTTTGTCGTTTTTCAGTTTTTGACATACTTTTAAAAATACCGGTTCCCGTTTACATTGTTTGTAAATTTCATGATGAATGGACCAAAAGAAACGACCCAAAATGGATTGGAAAAAAGTCTGGTTCCATTGACTTACATTAAAAGTAAAGTAGGTTTCTTTTCCTGTAAAGTTGCCTTTTAGGAGATACAAGGTTTTCTTCCGACAACAGCGACACATATCTCTCTCTATATATATATATATATATATATATATATATATATATATATATATATATATATATATATATATATATATATATGGGACGTTGCTGTTGTTGTTGTTGTTGTTGTTTGTTACTACTTATAGTTATATGTATTTAAAGGACTGTGAACTCTGTATGTATTATGAAAATTAGAGCTATTTTTGTTTGTTTGTTTGTTTTGTGTGTGTGTGAAATACAGATATCCGAACGTGGTCATCCTCACAACCTCAAACGTAACAGAGAAGATAGATTTGGCCTTTGTGGACAGAGCGGATATAAAGCAGTATATCGGCCCCCCGAGCGCGAGCGCCATCTTCAGCATCTACCTGTCCTGTCTGGAAGAGCTTATGAAGGTTTGTGTTCTACCTGCTGAGTAAACAGCTCAAAACTAGAGTGGAATTTCAAGACTGGCATTTTAGGCGTAACCAGTATGTAGAAATGAATCATCATTAATATACACAGATTGTTGTTGGGAGTCCAAGCAGTCTCAAATTCCAGTTGTCTGGATGCAGTAGAAATTGATCTGTCTATGCTTCCCTCACAAGTGCACTCTTTTAGCTACAGTTGTGAGGTTTCATAGAAAGCTTCATAGAACGCTGGTAAAAATCACATTGCATGTGAGACTGTATGTCCCATACGTTCCATTTTTAATACTTCATTAGTGGGTTAATAAAGCAATAAGCCACAAGATGCCGTGTGTTACTGCGATTTTATCATGGGGAAAGGTGTTCTTAGGCATGACCCTGTGACTAAAATCACAGTAACGCTCATTCTCAAGTGGCTTATTGCTTTTATAAAATGGCAGCCAACATAAACTATGATGAAATACAGTTTTTCAGAAAATAATTTGTTATTATTAACAATAATCAACATAAACAAGCATTCCTCCAAGAAATGTAGTTCCTGTAGCATATTGTGTCATTGCCAAGTAACCATGGACAGCTGAGTGAGGAGAACGTTCCGTCACCGATTGCTGTATATTGCAGTCATTTCACTTCAACTTTCAACTTTAACTTTTTATCGTGTAACAGTGAACGTATGAAATCACAGCCCTGTTTAATGCAAAAACTTTCACTTTATCTTTTCACCAAATTAACACCGAGAGTCTTATTTAGCACCAATCCAGTGGTGCCCTCTTCTCACGTTGGGGCTGAATCTCAAACAGCTCCCTGCTCCCTACATAGTGCACTACGTAGGAGTTTAAATACTGGATCCTGCAGCCCAACAGAGCAAAATACAGCTAAGAAACAGTCATTTGGGATTCAGACACATCCACACTCGATACATGATGCACTGTTTGGCTGGAGAGGCTAGAATTTCTAAACTTTCATAGCTAGAACACTATTTAGGGAGTACGGAGCCGTTTGGGATTCAGTCTGGGTTTGACGTGACTTCTGACTGAAACATGAACATCTGAAGTGTGTAAAACATTAAAGTGACATTTTTAGACTTTTATACTGCCGTTTTACAGTTAATCAAACTGTAAGTGCTTTAATTCAGGCCTGTGATATTAATGATGGAGCTGTTTAGGCTGTTGGCTCTTTTAGCCTGTTAGCTAGCTGACCAGCCTGGTTCTAGTTAGGAACGTAAGTTTCCCGTCAGTTTAAACAAAAAACGTGTTCTTACTTCATCAGTACACTCGCTGATCCATGTGAGCAGCATTAGAGTCAAAGGTTATTCATTAACAGCACAAGGGTTTTTAGTGTGCGCAGTGATACAGAATTCAGTCGCTGTGAGGCGTCATAGGTGTGTGCATATTGTGGATTTTACAACAGTTTTGAACGCGGCTCAGCCAATCAGATTTTAGGACTGGAACTAGATGTTTTATAATGGATCATTTCATCATTGTATTTCAAATATGTTTGTATTGTGACGTCCAGCGGCAGATCATTTACCCGAGGCAGCAGCTGCTGAACCTGGAGGAGTTGCGCACTATGGGCTACATTGAGAGTGATGTGACTGAGCTCAGCCTGTACCTGCAGAGAATCGCAAAGTGAGTAAAGCTGGTTAAAGGTGTGTTTTTTAGCATTTAGCATAGAAAATAATAGAAAATTAATTGACTCAAAACTGTCTTATAATCAAAGCCACTGAGTAAAGCTGTTATTAAGATTTAACCAACTTTCCATCAGTGGAACAGAGTCAAAAAAGGCGTTCTGGTTACCCTTTCTCTAAGATATATTGGAGTCCATGGTGGTCAGGTGGAGCCTGTGGAAACTCCGCCCACTGCACATTCATAATGAATAACTACAATTTCTTTCCTTGTGAAACTTTGTTCCATCTCTGAAAAAGTAGTTATATAGATATACATTTTTAGATATACAGATATACATATAGATATACAGTTGAATTTACATATAATTTTAGCTTGAAGAATCCAAATGTTCTCCTTTGCTCCTTGAACCTCTTGGTGATTGATGACACATTTTTAGTGGCTTCTTTCTTCTCCAACAGGAAGAGTGTTGGCCTGAGTGGACGGACTTTGAGGAAAATTCCCTTTTTGGCTCACGCGCTTTACGCAAAGGTATTTTGCATCAGGATCTGCGCTGATAAGTTCTGATAGAAGCTCTACTCTCACCACACATTATAATTTGTATTCCTCTGCTCTCTACATGTGCAGCTTTTTAAATCACACACACACACACACACACACACACACACACACACACACACATCATCTAAACCGCTTATCCTTCTGGGTCGCGGTGGGGTGCTGGAGCCTATCCCAGCTGTCATTGGGCGGAAAGCAGGATACACCCTGGACAGGTCTTTTTAAATCTTATGTATGAAAAATAAAAGAAAAGAAAGGAAAATAATTCCCTGTTGGGGAAAAAAAACTTTTTAACATTAATATTCTAATTAAAAAGATAATGTTCTTTACTTTCAACCTAAGTTAATGTAACAATATTTTTGTTTCTTTTTTAAAGAAAATTATGAAGTCCAAAAAAATGTTGATCATTTTTATTGCTCATCATTAAATGTTCATAGAACGTAAAGGGTAGTTGGCATTTACGAATGATGTAAAAACAGTGGAGAAACAAGGTTAGTTCAGAAAGTGCTGATATATTAATGAAAATAATGTTAGGGGAGAAAGTGATCTACTACTAGTACTCTGTACAGCTGCAGGGATCCTAAATAGTAACAATTGTTTAACGAATATTGAACTGTCCTTTTTTGATACTGCACCAGTGTTTTGCATTTTGTCCAATTGAAGTCGTTCGTAATTACACTTTATGTACAGAAGTATTGGGACGCCTACAGGAGCTTTTATGAATCCCATTCTAAATCCATAGGCAATAATATGGAGTTGGTCCCCCTTTACAGCTACAACAGCTTCCACTCTTCTGGGAATCTTCCTACCAGATGTTGGAGAGAGTCTGTGGGAATTTTTGCCCATTCATCTAGAGGAGTACTTGTGAGGTCAGACACTGATGTTGGACGAGAGGGCCTGGCTCACAATCTCCATTCTAGTTCATCCCAAAGGCGTCAGATGGGGTTGAGGTCAGGGCTCTGTGAGGGCCAGTCAAGTTCTTCCACACCAAACTCACCCAGTCAGGCCTTTATGGAGCTGCTTTGTGCACTGGGGCTCAGTCATGCTGGAACAGGAAAGGCCCCATATCATCATCCCTCCTCCACCAAACTTTACAGCTGGCACAGTGCAGTCAGGCAGGTAACGTTCTCCTGGCATTCGTCAAACCCAGACTCGTCTATCAGACTGACAGATAGAGAAGTGTGATTCATCACTCCAGAGTGTTTCCACTGCTCCAGAGTCTGATGGCGGCCGCGCTTTACAGTCATCCGATGATCTGCCTGTTAGCAATGGGTGAGGCTGAAACACCTGAACTCAGTAATTAGGAGAGGTGTCCCAATACTTTTGTACATCTGAGAAACTGAAAATATATGAACACATCCTCTACAGAGAATACATTTCTGCACATTTCAGTGCACAAATTACTGTTTATTTACTGAATCTAACATATTGGGGAAAAATACAACATAAAATGTGGCCTGAAATTTTTGCACATGTATTTTTTTTAAACTGGTCAAATAAATAGCAATTGCGCGCTAAAATGTGCGGAAAGGGTTTGTTTCCTGTAGCAGCTGTATTAATCTATTGTCCCTTATGAAAATCAACCAAATGTGTAACTTGACCAGGCGGTGTTTAACTGTAAAACTGATATTTTTGCTATGTTACGTCTTCAAAAGGTATAAAAAGTTGAATTTGATTCTGAAAATTGTTCAGCTGCCCTGTATCTGTCTGTCTATGTTTGCAGACGTCTGTGCTGACTGTTGAGAGTTTTCTGGACGCTATGGACAAAGCTGTGGTTCAGCAGTTAAAGGAACGGGAGACCTTGGCTAACTGTTTATGAGCGTAAGCTAGTGGCTGTAAGCTAACAGCACACACAGCACACGGCATCAGTCACCCCCCACTTCTCTCTCCATCACTGACTGTAGCTCTGTGGTGGTGATGTGCTGACTGTTATTAACTGTAATGAGTCTGAAAGTTGGCCGCGGTTCGGTTTTCTTCTGTTGACTTTGTTTTGAACCTGGAGTTGGAAAAAAAAGCACTTTATGAGCAGAAACTATTTTAAAAAGTGATGTTTTCCCTGTTCATTATATGTGAAATAACACAATACTGCTGCAACTTGACTACGTTTGACTGTTAGTATTGTTTGTGTTGATTTTTAGCTTGTTACCCCTCATTAACATTCATACATATTAATAAATTGGTGTGCTGCTGAGTCATGAGCCCAAAAGCATTTTAATAACAAAGATTGCTGTGCTGTGATGCTTTTGGCAGTCTTCAGATGTCTAATGGCAGATTTGACACTTAAACCATTTTTACTGAACTTGAACCAAAACAATGTTTGTCTTTTTATATGTTTATTTAAAAACTTTGATTAAAATAAACAAAATCTGGCATTTATTATTCCTTCTTGCATGTGAAGGGTGTCACAAAGGTCTCTTGCCTGAAATTGCCTTTTACAAATTATAAAGGAATTGAACATTTGTGCAAATTTGCTCTTTAGTAACATTTAAATTACATTTAAAGTAGTATGCAAAAGTTTGGGTGCCCCAGGTAAATGACTTCTGTAAGTGAAAATAGGTTAGACACTTAACACTTAGAACATTAAAGCACACTTACTGTTTCTATTTTAACATACTGGGGAAAAAATAAAACCTGTGCAAAACCAGTGTTTTTATTTTTTTCCAATATGTTAAACTCAGCAAATAAACAGAAATTGTGCACTAAAATTAGCAGTTGTGTGTGTTCTCTGTTGACGATGCATTACCTTTATGTTCACATAGAAAATCAACAAAACGTAATGTGACCAGGGATGTTCAAACCTTTGCATACAACTGTAGCTGTACACACGTAAATGCACCTGCAATGTACTGATATGCAGCAGGCTGCACTGCTCTGTATCACCACTAGATGGTGTGAAGTGACATTAAAAGTTCACTGTTTCTAGTGTTGTACACATTTTTATGGTGGATTCTCTTTGGCCCAATTTCTTATTTTTACCCTTACCCCTTGTTTTGGAGTGTCTCCTTGCCCTTTGGAGTTGAGTTACAGGGGGTAGTGGTTGAAATCCTCCCTCTGAAATGGGACCCTCAAACAAAAAGAGCATCACTTCATTAACAGCTACCAGCGCTGCTCTGTAGGCGACGCTGCCAGTCTGCAGTGACAGCAGAGGAGGGTGAAGTTCAGCTCCTCACTGCTGGGCTTTAGTTACATTTAGGGAATCGTGCCTTTAAAGGGGGGTATGTGGCAATTGTTGATTATCACCCACCCCTAATTCTTCAGTGATATGAAGATTGGACAGTTCTGATGCCTGAGGCGCCAAAATCTAATGGCTGCACCATTTAGGTTGGTATGGGAAATTTAGCTAGCTAGGTACCGAGACATTGGCATACTACTAGCGATTTTTTTTTATGCTTGTTATGAAGAAAACCACCTGGGATACCAATGCAACCACTCAACAACACCCTAGCAACCACCCGGGATACCAGTGCAACCACCCAACAGCACCCTAACAACCACCTAACGACACCTTAGCAACCATCTGGGATAACAGTGCAACCACCTAATGACACCCTAGCAACCACCTAGCAACACCCTAGCAACACCCTAGCAACCACCTAGAATACTAGTGCAACCACCTAACGTCACCCTAGCAACCACCTGGGATACCAATGCAACCACCTGGGATATCAGTGTAACCACCAAGGGTACCAATTCAACCACCTAACGTCACCCTAGTAACCACTCAACGACACCCTAGCAACCACCCAGAATACCAAGGCAACCTCCTGGGATATCACCTGCAACCACCTAACAACACCCTAGCAACCACCAAGGGTACCAATGCAACCACCTGGGATACCAGTGCAGCCACCAAGGGTACCAATGCAACCATCTAACGACACCCTAGCAACCACCCGGAATACCAATGCAACCACCTAACGACACCCTAGCAACCACCCAGGATACCAATGCAACCACCTAGCAACCTGCTGGGATATCACAGCAACCACCTAAGAACACCCTAGCAACCACCAAGGGTACCCTTGCAACCACCAGGGATACCAGTGCAACCACCAAGGGTACCAATGCAACCATCTAATGACACCCTAGCTACCACCTGGAATACCAATGCAACCACCTGACGACACCCTAGCAACCACTCAGTGACACCCTAGCAACCACTCAGTAACACCCTAGCAACCACCCAGGATGCCAATGCAACCACCTGGGATACCAGTGCAACCACCAAGGGTACCAATGCAACCATCTAACCACACCCTAGCAACCACCCGGAATACCAAGGCAACCACCTAACGACACCCTAGCAACCACCCAGAATACCAGTCCTATAGCAATGCCGGGAAAGTGCTTAAGCTGCACAGTCACTCCGCGTTTTCTTCAGGAAATTCACTTCTCTAGTTTTTATGCTTCTGCGGATCGTTTTCTGCATGTCATTCATTCATTCATTCATTCATTCATTATTGCTCGTCTTCATGTCACTTTCCTGCTCAGACACCTGCAGTATAATTATGGCATCTCTGTCTTCATCAGTGAATAAAAACACTTCATCAGGCCGAAGACAGCGGCAGCGAGAGCAGACACATGCCTGATAAATAACCCTGTAATTGCGATGTCTGGAGGCGCTTTTTCACCCTTCAGCCTGCTCAAAAAATCAGGCAGCTGCTTAAACGCAACCACAAGAAAAGGAGGAGGGGAAAAAGAGAACAAGTCAAAAGACTTATTGTTAGAGAATTTTAATTATGCTCCCCTGTGGGAAGAAATTGCTTAGAGTTTTAGACAAAACAAACACCATCATGTGTGTCTCTGACCTGCCAAAAAAAACATACAACACGATGAGTTAATATTGTTTCCTCAACAAAAAAGATACTTACTGTCTCACACACACACACACACACACACACACACACATCATCTAAACCGCTTATCCTTCTGGGTTACTTACTGTCACATTCTCAATGATTAATACATCATAGAAATGTATAAATCCACTGGCCACTTTATTGGAAACCTCACTGCTGTACAGTCTCTAGATGCTTCACCAGTGGTCAGTTTCTGATAGAGCCATTCTCGTCTGCATATTTGTGGATGGTGGACCACTCTTAACCTATGAATACCTTGCTTTGCAAATAATATTTGATCAGAAGGTGATAAATGATGAATGAGGTAGAGAGGACAGTGAAAGAATAAGCTAGGTGTTTCTAATAAAGTGGCCAGTTAGTGGAAGTATAAGGTAGGTGTTTCTAATAAAGTGGCCAGTTAGTGGAAGCACAAGGTAGGTGTTTCTAATAAAGTGGCCAGTTAGTGGAAGTATAAGGTAGGTGTTTCTAATAAAGTGGCCAGTTAGTGGAAGTATAAGGTAGGTGTTTCTAATAAAGTGGCCAGTTAGTGGAAGTACAAGGTGTTTCTAATAAAGTGGCCAGGTAGTGGAAGCGCAAGGTGACTGTTTCTAATAAAGTGGCCAGTTAGTGGAAGCACAAGGTTGGTGTTTCCAATAAAGTGGCCAGTTAGTGGAAGTACAAGGTGGGTGTTTCTAATAAAGTGGCCAGTTAGTGGAAGTACAAGGTGACTGTTTCTGATAAAGTGGCCAGTTAGTGGAAGCGCAAGGTGACTGTTTCTAATAAAGTGGCCAGTCAGTGGAAGCACAAGGTGACTGTTTCTAATAAAGTGGCCAGTTAGTGGAAGCACAAGGTAGGTGTTTCCAATAAAGTGGCCAGTTAGTGGAAGTACAAGGTAGGTGTTTCTAATAAAGTGGCCAGTTAGTGCAAGTACAAGGTAGGTGTTTCTAATAAAGTGGTAACTTGGTGGAAGTACAAGGTAGGTGTTTCTAATAAAGTGGCCAGTTAGTGGAAGAACAAGGTATGTGTTTCTAAAAAAAAGTGGCCAGTCAGTGGAAGCACAGGGTGGCTGTTTCTGATAAAGTGGCCAGTCAGCGGAAGCACAGGGTGGCTGTTTCTGATAAAGTGGCCAGTCAGTGGAAGCACAAGGTGACTGTTTCTGATAAAGTGGCCATTTAGTGGAAGCACAAGGTGACTGTTTCTAATAAAGTGGCCAGTCAGTGGAAGCACAGGGTGACTGTTTCTGATAAAGTGGCCAGTCAGTGGAAGCACAAGGTGACTGTTTCTGATAAAGTGGCCAGTCAGTGGAAGCACAAGGTGGGTGTTTCTAATAAAGTGGCCACTGATTGTACATAGAACCCTACATATAGGTATCTAATGTACAGATTGTACGCAGTACTGGTCTCAGTTTTGGGACATTGTATTTCAAAACAGGGTTTCAGTGACTCAAGCCGGTTAAACCCTGAGGGGAAAGGAGAAGTTTTGCTCCGGGCCTGTTTTGCATGTGTTGTTTACCACAGGGTTTGATGGCTCATTGTGGTTTCTCTCAGGGCAGCAGCCTGATTTCAAAGGGAACATTCAAATGCGTCTTTCCAGCTTTACAGCATTCAAATATGTTTGTACAAAGGTTGGCATTAGCATAATGCATCTTCCTGCTGACGGGCTGATGTCTCTGACAAATTTAGAGTAGAAACAAATATAAACAGTCATGCTGCAGAGAATAACTGTTAATATGAACAAAGTGGATAATATTAATAATGTGAAATTATTATGAATATTTACTCAGACTTTTATTATGAACAGTTGATAACAATTAAGTTGTTAACGATTACTCTGTAATAATCAATTACTTGATGACGATCGTCATTTTATTTCCTGCTCTGACTTCTGCAGTAAATTTGATAGTATCAGTTCAAACGCAGACTTTAAGAGGATATGTGACTCTATCCCTGATGGTCTTCTCTGTTTAATTACAAGTAATCAAAAGGTTATAGAGGATTTTTCTCTACAGAACTATATCATTTCTATTAATGGGGTTGATATAGTAGATAAGAAGTGTAATAATAAATTTATAAGGCAGCTTTGATGTGGTCACAGTGGTCAACTCAACAAAGGCAGGACAGCCCCACAGTTTGGACTCTCCCCTATAAATATGTTCTTAATAACAAGATAAAAGAACTGCTTTATATATATTGCATAGATTCTACTGTGTCAGTGGTATGTTGAATAGATTTTTCGACATGAGTGACACAGGTCCTTTTTGTAAAGGGGCTCCAGAATCCACTGAACGCTTATTTTTTAGTTGTGTATTCTCTTACTCGCTCTGGGTCGATCTCTTTTTAGACCTGAAGAGAAAGACTGGTAAAGAAATCCCCCTCAAAAGCCACTGTTTTATATCTTTTTGATGACCTGTTGTTTAACCCAATGAATGTTTTATAATAAACCTGATCATAATAATAGATAAATTCTATATACATAAGGGGAAATTTGCCAGAAAAATATCTTCATACATCATGTTTGTTCGCACAGATCTGTGTGATTACATTTCTACCTTAGTGAACTGGCACCAGCAGCGAAATGAGAAACATTGTAAATCCATTGTTGCGTTAAAGCTTTTCAGTTTTATTTAAATCCCAATGGTACGGAGCCCCGCTGGTGACATCCTGTATAAATAAAAATAATGCGTGGCCTTATTAACGCGTGGGAACGAGATCCTAATATGTGGCCACGACTTAGTAAGGCGTGGGAATGAGATGATTAAGTCATGGCCACGCATTATTTTTATTTATACAGGATGTCACCAGCGGAGATCCGTACCAGTGGGGCTCCGTATGCTGGTGACATCCTGTGTAAATAAAAATAATGCGTGGCCACGACTTAGTAAGGCGTGGGAATGAGATCATGGCTTACTAAGTCGTGGCCACACATTGGGATCTCGTTCCCACCCTTTGCTAAGTCATGGCCACGACTTAGTAAAGCGTGGGAACGAGATCCCAATTTCTGTTTTTCTTTCTTCTTTCCTTTTTTATTTTTTTATTTTGTTTATTCTGGGATGTGAAGGCTGTAATGCGTCCTACTGTTATACTTGTTTGTATTTATATGGTTATATGTTTGAAATAAACACAAAAATAATCTATTTTGTAATAATAGTTCATCAATGTCGCTAGCCATTCCACCACATGAGGGCGGGGCTCATCGCAATCGCCATAGCCAATAGGAAGACGCTGTTGTTGTGTGGGCGGGGCTAGAGGTAGGGCTCGAGCCCCCTGCGCGTTAGCAGCAGTTGGAGTTGGAGTCGTTTGAGTGTTTTAACCGTTAACGAGTTTTTCCAAACGGAATAAATTCATAATGTTTTCATTCGTGCTTAAAATGTTGCTTTCGACCGAAACATGGAGCTCGCTTTGGTTTTAAAATGTGCTGTTTCGGCCAGCGGACATGATGTGATTCATTTTTTTCACTTCAGTTAGTGAGAGAAGCTATTTTTTGGGGGGTAAAGTAGCTAAAAAAACCGAGCTGTGAGGGGAAAAATGGGCAAATTTCAGTCAAAACATGGTAAGTCAGTGGATGTAGCTTGTAAAAAAAATACGAGGCTGAAGTTGGTTTTCAGTTTCGCCAGTTTCTTGTTCGAATTTCCCCGTTCCACCTTAAATGGTGCAGCAGTTCCATTCTGGTGGCTGAGGCGCCCGAATGGAACTGCTGCACCATTTAAGGTGGAACGGAAAAATTCGAATAAGAAGCTGCTTTCAGCCTCGTTTATTGTTGTTTTGTTGGCTCGTATTAAAGCTCAGACCTGTTCTGTTTGTGTGGATACAGCCTGCAGACGAAGAGAAAACCCTGAAGGTGAGTTCAGCACGTTTAAAGCACCTCAGCTCCAGCTTTGAACGCTCATGTGTTTCCACTCGGCTGTGGATTTCACTGATATCAACTTTTAATTTCACCTATTTGACTCCGTTTCAGGGGACAGTTTCGTCGTGAACGGCTTTATTTCAAAAAGAGGAGCTGAAGAAAGTGATAGATACGGCAGCGAGCAGAAAATGAGGAGCATTCAGGTAATTTTTGAAATTAAAAATGCACCGGCTGCCTTTTTCGACACTTCATCTAACTTTTTAACATGGTATGATGATTTTAAGATGCTATTTAGTCTTATCTAATATGTTTCTACAGCTTTCCAGTCATTTTAAAGCTCTGTTCATGCTCTAGAGGAGTTTATGATAATGAGAATGTTTGGTTATTAAAGTGGAAATCCAACTATTTTTCTAATTGTCTGCATAATTAAATGGTTGAGATGTAAACAGAGTCGTTCAGAGTGGTTTGGTGTGAAACGCTCATTTCTAGAGAAACTTACAGAGTCAGAACTGTTCACAGTGGTGGTGATAGGAACCAGACGTCCACCTCTAAAAGCTCCCTCACAGAAAGTTACTACAGGAAATGGTTATGAATTCACTGCCCGATGACTGAAACACTGTTTTATGATAGTTTAGAGAAGATTTTGGTATATAAAATGTATTTTTTAAAATGGGAGGAATGCAGGAAACTTGTTTTTACCATCATCAACATTCCATATAAACTCAGAAGACTCGTGTAGGTTCACTGGTGGTTCTGGATAGTAAATGAAATGTCTGTATTTGTGTTGTAGTCATGGTGACCCCTGGTTCCTATCACCACCACTGTAAAGACATCTGAACCATTTCACACCAAACCACTCTGAATCACTCTGTTTACATCTCAAACACTGAATGATGAGTCTATTAATAAGTTCAGTGCGATATGGTTGGCTATAAATGTTTGTGATCAGCTGGTTAACCTGAAGCTCTGGGAACCTTCATCTGTAGATGTTTCAGTATTTATTGATAAAGGCAGGCCAGTGTAAACGATCCACATAAGCATTGGTGCCTTATTTTGTGCTTATTTGTGGTGTAGTCAGTATTGAAAGTGCAGTATATGTGTTACCTTGTTCTAAAGTGGCTTTAAGGTTTGTTGTGTGTTTGTTGGGGATATTACTTGTTACAGTAATAGAAAATTGACTTCAGTTGTCAGGGATGGAACCGTGTAGAAATCAAATTGGAGAGCGACAGAAATGAGCATTTTGCAGTTCGTGGGTCATATTATTGGCTAATTAGCTTATTATGATAAATATGGAATGCAAATTGTTCTAAGAGTATTAATTAGTGGTTTTGTAGTCGACAATTTTTTTGCAAATTTTTAAAATGTGCAAAAAAAAACCTGGATGGAAAAAGCCTGTAATTCGAAAAAACACACAAATATCGCAAAAAGAGTTTTTACGCTAGCACAAGGTGGAAACGTTAGAATATCTCTACAACTGAAATGCGAAAATAGTGATGGAAAAGCGTTTTTCGAATAAACGTCAGGGTGACATGGAGATTTCAGCCCTCATTGGGCCATTGCTCGTCCTGCCCAATGTCTCTGAGCTGCAGACAACACGGCCATGAAAAGATGGCAAGTGGCTGTGAAGATGATTTTACTTAATCAAAAACCGAGTTAAATCTCTCCATCTTGTTCGTTTTGATGCAGCCCCTAATCAAGAAAGCCTACGTCATCTTAAGTTTCTTTGCATAACTGTAGTGGACGGAAACATGACTTAATTTGTTTTTTTCCTGCCAAAACTTCGTAAATGCACATAACATTTGCAAAACATTTGAATGAAACATGGCAATTGAAAACGAGCTTTGGAAAAAATGCTGTTAGGGCTAGCACTAAAATAATGGGAGCGTTTATATGCACTTAATAATCCGATCATATTCAGAAATGTGGCAGTTATCTGATAATTCAGATGCTCGTGTAAACAGAATACTCCTGTTTCCTAGATCGGATTAAGGCCGTTATCGAATTTCTAAAACTCTAATAAAGAGGCTAGATTTGAGCTCAGTAATGGGGTTTTTCAGTGCATGTGAACCCTTACTCTGATTTCTTTCGTTTTTCTCCGTTGACGCATGTGTGAAAACAGAACGCAGGCCTGGAAATAGCGAGCAGCATTGAACACAGCACCCGCGAGATATTTGATTACATCACCCGATCACCCCGGCCTAGTCAGAATGCACATGCCTTATAGAACATACTTCACACTTCAGTGGCCTTTACTGTTACTCTGTGGAGGCAAATCAATAGCGTTTCCATAGTGATTTATGAGGATTATGAATGTGCTCATGCTTACTCAGAAACCATTGCAGCGCATCCAACAATAAAGGCAGCATGGAGCTTCTTTTATACAGTGATAGGAAACGCAGTATCTCACAGAAAGCTCCAGCTCCACATGCTGATCCATTTTACTGATGGCCGTGGACGTGCACGGTCACCAAACTACTCTGAGGGCTGATTTTAATCAGAATGAATTGTTTGCAAATCGTTTGATTTTTGATATGGTTAAACAATAACATTACATTCGATTCATAATTAATACAATATAGCTAATCAATGCACATTGTCACAGTGTATTATTAAAGCCTTATTACTGATCATGTTTCCGCTTATCTCATATTTAGTGGCGTGGGAGTTGTCGTATTTCGCAGCGCTGTAGCAGGGCAGTGGATGTTTTTTGTGTGCTGAGCTTCACTGTACAGGGTTTGACAGCCTGGAACCCTGCATGTCAGTGTTTGCATGTGTGTGGCGGTCTCAGACGGCAGCGTTAGTGCCCCGCGGTCAGAGCCGTTTAGTCTGCGGATGTGTTGTTTAAGCCTTCAGCCGCTGGCGGCGTCTCTCGGCCTCTGAAAGGCTTCCATTCTTACACCCTGCATTACATCACTGCTATTAGTGTCATGTTTAAAGTGTGAGGGCCGGAGCACGCAGAGCCCGGAGCTTCAGAGAGGCGAGCAGGCGGGTAGTGTGTGACTTCACTGTCGAGGATGAAATCATCCCTGTTACCCTCCCACCCATGACATATTAGAGAGTTAATAGCTGATAATAGTTAACCCGTTTAAGGCCGATGCAAAAAAGGGGCCATTTCTGCCGTTTAGTGTAATTTTTTTAATCAGTAACACAATTTCTGAATGCTGTTGTTGTGTTTATGTTAATTTGTAAAGAATGTAATCTGGCAAAGCAGAAAATTCATGGAATTTTATTCAGTTTGTCTGAAACAGAAAGCCCATTAATGGGAATCGAAGTTGCACGTCAGTTGCAGTTTATCTTTACACTGAATACACAAAAGAATAATGAGCGCTAATGGATTCAAATTGTGCTCTGAATGTGCTCCCAGCAAAGAAAGAGGCCTCATGCATCTAATTATGCAGCGTAACACCCTACAAACACTGTGAAAAGCACACAGACAGAAAAATGATGTTAGCTTTGCTAACAGGTATGTGCAAATAATGTAACTCCTCTGGCGGCAGATTTAAAGGCCAGGGTTTTTTGTGGGAGAGGGTGTAACAAGGCAAAATAGCCCCCTAAAGAAAACGTATCTTTTCAGATTTAACACTATTTTACCATCATCAATACTCAAATTTTTTTTAAAAACTTCACAAAATGCTAAAAAGTCTGTCATTAGCATTCAGAAATTGTGTTATTATCAGAAAAGACAAATAGAATTGACAAATTTCTGCATCAGCCTTAAAGGGGAACTGATTTTTCAAAAAATTCTACATAATTAAATGCTTAGGGTGTAAACAGAGTCGTTCAGAGTGGTTTGGTTTGAAACGCTCTGTTCTAGAGAAACTTGCCGAGTCAGAATTGTTCACAGTGGTGGTGATAGGAACCAGACGTCCACCTCTGAAAGCTCCCTCACAGAAAGTTACTACATGAAATGGTTATGAATTCACTGCCTGATGTCTGAGACATTGTTTTATGATAGTTTTGTGGTAAATTTTGTGGCTTAAAAAGTATTTGAATCCATTTATTTTAATCCATTCATGGAGGAGGGATATATGCAGGGCATTGTAATGAAAAATAGTCCCCAAAGAAAACTTATTTTTTCAGATTTATAACTATTTTCTCATCATCAACATTCCATATAAGACACGTGTAGGTTCACTGGTGGTCTTGGATAGTAAATAAAATGGAAGCTAATGGACAGTTGCTGAATTTCTTGAACAAATGCCTGGACTGTGTGAACACATAATACAACTTTACAACACTGGAGCAACTTTTGTTTTCTGGCATCCGCCCACACTACTATGCTGAGAACTACGCTGATAAAGATTAGATTAATTCTTTCTTTAATTGGTTAATATTACTAGATCAGGGGTCGCAACCCAAACGTTAAGAAGAGCCATTTTGTCCTTTCGACAAAAATCAAACCACCTGGTCCATTTTACCATCTTGGCTGTAAATCTATCTCAGTATGTGCAGATGTACTAGTATAGACTGAAAATATAATATAAACGAAAACGCAGACTTACATTGCTCTGCTTTAAGCTTTAGCTCAGCTACAGCCCCTTTTCTCACATCTCCAGCAGGAAACTTTTCCTTAAGTAGAACAGTTTCTCGTAAAATGTCTCTCAACGTTTGACTTTTTACGAGGCTGAAGTTGCTTCTCATTCGCTAGCTTCTAGTTCGAATTTTCCCATTCCACCTTAAATGGTGCCTGAGATGTCAGAATGTAACTGCTGCATCATTTAAGGTGGAACGAGACAACTCGAACAAGAAGCTGGCGAATGAGAAACTGACTTCAGCTTTGTGACTTTTTAGTGTTTGTCAGTTTCTTGTAGCAGATTAAACATATCAGGAAACCAGCTGGAGTGATTATGAACGCAAATAGGTCCATTCATCTCCAAATTATCGATGTTCATTTCTTTGCCGTTTTGTTAGCTACTAGCTAGGCGAGACTGTTGTCTGTGTTGCTATGGTGACCAGCAGAGCTTTATTTTACTGTAAAGGAGGATTATTTTATTTTTACCTACAAATCTAATTCTGCTGTGGAGCCACATGTTATAATAATAATAATATCTTACTCACTGCCATATCAGTGTGTCATCAACCACCCAAATTATATCTGGACGGTCCTGTCCTGTGGTCAGAAACTGACTAATGATGAATGATAAACTGTACAGCGACAGATGAACTTCAGTCTGCAGTTGTACAGCTACATAGTGGAGCTATA